TATTTTTAGTATTTGCTTCGATTCGAAAGTTTACGGATATCCGGAATTTTCAAATCGAATCGAGACGAATAACGAATCAAATCAAATTTAACGAATAAAATGCCCAGCCCTACGCAAACTACATCGAAATTAATAAAGTTAGCTACCAACATATCTACCAAATTGGCTTTAATTGGTTGTCATCGTCACGTGTCACAATCACTAACTAAAATAAGATTAGCCATATAACCATATTTTTGCATTGCTTAATCAAATCATCGATGCTGCTTGGAATGCTAATACACGGAATTGTGGTAATACAAATGTGGATACAACTCGTGAAAGATTATTACATTAGTTCTGCTTGTTGAAACTTAGGCGTTAAAAGGTGTTTACGAGAAGCCAATAATTAACAAAGTTTAATGTCTTCTGCGATTCTCACTCCTTAATATCTTATTGACAAGAGAAATGCGAATATCGAGTGAGTAGTTGTTATCAAAGCGGGCAACACCATCACTAAGTTTTACATGGTTCTCAACATTAAAATAAAAATTAAAGAAAAATAAACTATAAAAATATGAAAAATCCAAACTACATGTCATATTGACTGAATGGTTAAATAAAATCTAAAAAATTAAACTACATGTCATATTCAAACACATATGTTAAACCCAAATATATTTTTTGAAACTCACATAGTTTCTACTAGCTAGTGACTAGTGAGTATGCTCTATCACTTGAGTTTAGGCGGATTACTTTCTGATTTTTTTTGGTGAAGCCAATAAATGTGTTAGCAAATTCGATAAGCTAAAGCAAGTTTTAAATGAGATATTCTTTGACAAAAGAAGAAGAATGGAACATTTTTATTTTCACGTTTTTCAAATTAAGAACGGTAATACTCTAGAAAAAAAAATTGTTTTCCTCTAGAATCTTGAGAGATGCAAGACTTTTTCATGATTTGACAAAGAAAAGACTCGTTCTTATACCAAATTTGACGAAGCATTGTTTTTATGGCTTCTGTCCATTTCACAAGTTGTAAACTTATTGTGTCTTCAATTCTTGGTCGCCAGTCTATTAACAATATACTATTTCTTTTATTTCATTATTATTTATTTGAATTTATGGAATTTAATTTCAAACCTACACACTGTCACAACTTTATGTTCCCATTTAAGATTACCACGTGCACCTCGATTTCGGATGCAAAATTCATTTTTTCATTAAATTTCTGCATTTTTGTTACCATAAGATTTGATTGTACAGCCAAATAAGAAAAGCATATATTATGTACCTTAGGTAAGTAGGTAACACAACGCATCTTGTACAGCTTCTACAATCCTATCCCTTTTTACTGAAGATAGAATTCAAGAAGATTAACAAATAAACAGATTCTTGTAAAAAAAATTATTTTCTCACTAATAATAAAATAAATACTTGATAATTTATTGATCTATGTTACATGCAAACTGCAAACGCACAAACTAAAAAAAGACCGTCTTCAAGTGATGTGACTCCATGGTTTTAAAAGAAAAACATATTTTTCAATATAAACCTCCTGCAGAATATATTAATATTAAACTTTCTGATGGTTGGTAATAAATCCCCAACCAATACCAGAGAACCAAAACACAACAACACACACCAAAATATATTCTACTCAAATTTTCTTTTTTGAAGCCTCACATTTTTAAACTCTTTCTTTCCTTGTTGTTGTAATGACAGGTTGCTTCAGCTTCTCTGAAGTAATAGAACGGACTTACAAATCCGGTTTCAAAAGATCCGGTTTACGACCCGTAACCATCGACTTAAAAGACGGAACCGTGGTCCATTTCTGGGTCTCCAAGACCCGACTCGAATCCAAACCCAACCTCCTCCTCATCCACGGACTCGGAGCTTCTGCCATCTGGCAATGGTACGACGTCGCACGACGCCTCTCCCCTCATTTCAACCTCTTCATCCCGGACCTCGTTTTCTTCGGCGGATCCTCCACGACCCGACCCGAAAGATCCGATATTTTCCAAGCCCAGACGCTTATGCGGGCCTTAGAGGCCCAATCCGTGAAACGTTTCAGCCTCGTCGGTCTTAGCTACGGCGGGTTCGTCGGTTACCGAATGGCGGCGATGTACGGAGACGCCGTGGAGAAGGTGGTGATATGCTGCGCCGCCGTGTGCGTGGAGGAGAAGGACATGAGAGACGGCGTTTTCAAGGTGTCGGATCTTGATGAAGCTTCAAAGATTCTGGTGCCGGAGTCTGTGAAGAAGCTAAGGGAACTTATTGGTTACATCTTCTACAAGCCGGCGCTGGCGAGAATGGTTCCTCCTTGTCTGCTCCATGATTTCATCGAACATGTGAGCTTCTTTCTTCTTTTAACTTCTTCGGCCAATGATGTTGCGACATGTGTCTACCTGTCTTAACGCATTTCAGCTAATATGTATAACAAATATACAATCAGAAAAAGGTGTGAAAAAGTTTTTACAATGATGAAAATCTAGCAAATACGAAAAACAATATAAAGAATATATTGAAAGATTCTAACTTTTTGAAGATAATATATTAAAATGTCCACTTGAATTTCTAGAGAGAACTTGTCTACCTGGACTTTTTTCCTGTAGAATTACATGTTTCTGTTTTTTATTTTCTTCACTATATTTTTGTCAAAGTTTTCTAATTATACAAATATATATTACATTTGCTAGATTTATAACTTTTTATTAATATTTGTTTGGTACTTCATTGTGGTACTTGTTGGCAGTTCTTTTGCAAAGTACTTGTTCTGCCTACACAACAAGAACAAGTTATTCTATTTGTTTTACCTTTTATATTTACATAAGGTTCACTAATTTGTAAAAAAAAAATGTTAATGAAACAAAACAGGCATTGACCAGAAATAATGTAAAAGAAAAGAGGGAGATGATCAAAGACATACCAAGAGATAGAATAGTATCAGAGATTCCAAAGCTCACACAGGTTCATCTCTCTTTTTCCTCTAATTTTCTCAGTAATCACTCTACTAAATTGTAGTTAATATTAATTTTTTAATGTTAATTATGAAATGCAGCCAACATTGATAATATGGGGAGAGCACGATCAAGTGTTTCCACTGGAGATGGGAAAGAGACTTAAGGATCACTTAGGAGACAATGCGAAACTTGTTATCATCAAAAGAACTGGTCATATCTTTAATTTCGAGAAACCTAAGACTTATGTTAGACTTCTCAAGTCTTTTCTTATTCAGACGAAACAACATGTTTCTGTCTCTAATGGTACTGTTTGAGTATTAAACGCTCTAGTCTTGATTATGTAAGGATTGTTAACACATATAACTAGTGTTTGGCTCTTAAAAACAACAGGTTACTGTCTCTAATGGAACTGTTTCAGTCTTAAATAGTCTACTCTTAATTTTCATTACCATTTAAAGATTATTGACGCATATAAGTATAATAATAACTAGTGTTTGGTTGTTACAAGTTATTTGTTTATCCATTTCGAATTACGATAGCTACGTTCATTTTTTTCTGAAATTTAATTAGTTGGCCATAAGAAAAGGTTTCCTTCTTTTAGTGCTTCATGACTATTGACAATCATATATTTTCTTTGCCATTTTCACTGTTTTTTTTTTGTTTCTTGAAATGAGATGAATATAAATGTTGGAAGACAAAGGTAGATGTACCAAAGAGAAGGATAACATTTGCAGAGAAGAAACAAACTCTACAAATGCAGAAAATCCCTCTCATGATGGTGAATTGATATTTGCCTCCAGAACAAAGCTAACAAGAATGGATCTTGCTGCTGAAAGAAGAGGCATCTTTCTTCCTTATATATAAATAAAACTCAGAAGCTAATGAAAATAATAAATGAGAACACCATTGACTCTGGAGCTCAAAAGCTTTTGATTGATTGAATATGACGATGGCAAAGCATTTGGTATATATAGAGTCGGCCTCTAGCTTCCTGCTTTGAAAACCCTAGCTTCTGTATAAACAGTGTTCTTGGGGCTTAATGGGCCTACAAAGAGGCCTTTCATAAAGCAAAGTAAAATTGTAAGCCTGCTGATATCATCATTGTTTAGAAGGAAAAAGCTTACCTTCCATTGTTCACTAAGTTTTTGAATACACTGATAACTCTTACTTTAAAAACATAGATCAATAGCTATATAATTTAAGAGATTTTCAAAAAATATTATGAGCAAATGATATTTTTTATATAGTAAGTATTACAAATTTTCCTTTATACATTTTTTCTTGAGAAAACTATTTATATATCTTATAACACATACAATATAAAGTTTCTAAACCATTTCAAACCACACTCTTTATAGTAAAGGAGAGATCTATTAAAAATAAATGGATAAAATGTTAAGTCTCCAACAATGACCTTCAAAAGTTTTCTCTCAAAACTTTATATATTATATTTTAGTCCTCAATATTATTAATAATTAACTATAATCACTAAAATTCTATAAAGAAGCAATAAATATACATTTTCAGCAATATTTATATAAAATAAAAAGCATCTCCAATAATAATATGTAGTCAAATATAACTATACATAATATAAAAAATGTCAATAATGTATTTTTAGTTGAACTAGTTTATAAAAACTATATTGATAAGTATTTAAATATGATATATAAAAAGATATCAAGCAATTGTTAGTCTTAATGCAATTGTTAATGTAATTTTTAGCTCTAATCACTTCAATAGTCAGCTATGAACCTTTACTGATCTTTTTCATTTCTAGTTACGGGCCTTGAATGGATAAAGCCCATTTAACACAACTAAATTCCATCTGAAACCATAGTGGTTCCCCCTCCTTTTCGTCAGTCATCATCAGCAGCCACCACACTACACCGCGTAGAGAGAAAGCTGAGAGAGAGGGTAGTAAAAAAAGATGAGGTTGATAGTACACAACATGTTGACTTGCAACATTAAAGGAGTGATCAACAAGTTTCCTCTACGCATCGAAGCAGAGAAAGTGATCAAGAAGGAGGTCGATTTCAACCCTGATTTTCTCAGACACATGTTGGCCAAGATCGAGTGGAAGGCTTTGGTGGACGGTGCACGTTCTATGGGATACACTGAGCTTCCTGATCACGCGCCAGACACGGAGAGGGTAGAATCCGACGAATCGTTTCTCAAGAAGTTCCACCATGCGTTGCTCGAGCTTCACCTTGAGGAAGGCTCGCTCGTGTGCCAAGAAACCGGTAGGAAGTTTCCAGTTGATAAGGGAGTCCCGAACATGGTTCTCCGCGAGGACGAAGTTTGAGGATTCTGATCTTTAGGGGGCAAGAAGATAATTTGGGAATTTTCAAAGAACTAAAAGTAAAAAAAAAAGGTACTATAATTGTTTCATCTTGTATTGTGTTATGAACCAATACTATAATTGGTTCATCTTGTAGTGCTCCCCAAGTGTAGCGTTATTCTACTTTAAGCACTATCTTCAAGATAGATACCGAGTCATGTGATTTGGATAAATGAAGCTGAAATATCTAGGCATGGACGTTTGGTGGACCATTCGATATCGGTTCAGATTATTTAGATTTTCGGTATTGTGTTCATAAGTATCACTCGGTTTTTACTAAGTATTAGATCGGATTTGATTCGGTTTCTTCCGGATTCGGTCCGGATCGAATCGGATCTAACCAATGTTTAAAATGGTCTAAAAACAAATTTTTTTAAAACTTCAAAAACTGACAAATTTTTTTCACATATATAAATTATTTACAAATCTAATTTAAATTAGTTAAGCTAGCTAAATTAAGTAAAAAGTATTCAAAATAACAAAGAAAACAAACTACAAAAGTATTTTGAATATTCTAAAATATTTAAGTCACCTTAACATATATAAAAACATTAATGTATTTAATTAATTTTACATATCTTCAGATTATAATTCAGATTTCGGTTCGGTTTGGATTATAACCAAAGTCCAAAGTAGTAAGTTTATAAGTTCCGGATGTTTTTGTAAGAAAATCAGATTCGGTGTCAATTTATCTGGTTCAGATTAAAGCTGTTACTTAGGATTGAGTTAAAAATGCCGAGGCGTAGAAATATCCATAGACAAGAGCTTAATTGAGTGGTTATTGGACCGGTCTTGGGCCTATGTGATTTATTTAAAATCTTATTAAACCGGAATGCTGACATCAGCACATCCGCGTATGACGGCTATAAATACCGGACGTGACGGAACTTTATATTCTGTTACATCTCTCTCGAGAGGAGAAAGCGCGGGAAAAAAAAGCGATTACGATTTTTGTTCGCGAAAATGCAGAAGTTAGGGTTTCCAGCGATGAAAAGCTTCGATCAGATGCGATCCATGGCTGGATCGGCGAGGAATCTCTCATTCCCTTCACGTCAACCTCCCGATTCCGTTTCCTCGGGAAACTTCTCGAATCTGAAGTCTACCGCAGGTCCGCTTCGCTTGATTTGATGATTTCGTTTCCGATTAGTTTCTGTAATCGCGTTTGTTTTGATGATTCGAGATGTATTCGTTACTGTTTTGCAGAAAAACTGGTGAAGGAACAGGCATCTATGAAATCAGATCTGGAATTGGCGGTATTTCGAATGCTTTCCTGTTTTCTTCTTTGCGTTTGTGCGTCTTTTACAAACTTAGAGTTTGTTCGATGTGATTAAGAGGTATGTGTATTGTGGTGTGGTGTTGCTACGATTGTGCGTTTGCTTGCCGTTTCTAGTTTGTAGTTTTGAATCGATATGAGCAGGAAGACGTAGATCTCTCTTATCCGAGAGAACATCTTACTTGGAGATTGATAGATTCGAGTTATTGCTATGTATTGCCACAAATGTATCTGAATCGGACTTTGATAGAGGATATATTGCGAGAAATGTATTTGATTGGAGTTTGATAGATAATATTGTTTTTGTTTGATACAGAATGCTAAGCTGAAAAGGTCGATGGATCATATACATGCTTTAGAGGAAAAGCTGCAGAATGCTTTCAATGAGAATGCTAAACTCAGGGTGATGCAAAAGGAGGATGAAAAGCTTTGGAGAGGGATGGAGTCAAAATTCTCTTCAACGAAGACTCTCTGTGATCAACTTACTGAGACTCTACAACACTTGGCTTCCCAGGTTCAAGAAGGTAATAATAATAGATGCACATTGCGAGTTGAACTCTTGGAACTATACTTATGGTTTGTTGCTTTATCTGTTTTTCCAAATTGTTTCTACAGCTGAGAAGGATAAAGAGCTCTTTGAGTCCAAGTTCTCTACTAGTGCAGAAGTAGTAGACTCTTTAAAGCAGCAAATGCAAGAACTTTCTTCAAGATTAGGTGCTGCTGAAGAAAACATCAAAAGCCGTAAGTTGTTGGTTTGTTACAGACATGTTTTGTTGATTTCTTTCATAAGAAAATCTTTAATTCGAAAATGATCTGAGTTGCTGTTATATTGTATACAGAAATTTCTGTATGGTTTTTTTGTTGAAGATTTTTATATATAGCCGTTACATTGAAGTCAAAACATGCAGGAGAGAAGGAACTAGAGGAGCTCAAACTCGAGAAAGAACAGACAGAGAAATCTTATCTGGATGAACAGTGTAGAACTGCCAGTCTCTTAAAGGATAAAGGTAAATTTCAAGTACTTTTAGCTTCACAAATCACAATGTCTTTTTCTCACACGCAGTACATCACATGTTTAAACTGGTTTGATAGGTTGAAAAACTCAATAATTTTGAAGTGTGTTCACTATTTAAATGGAAATAGGATAGTTCTTAGCTTTCGTACTGGTTATTATTCAAAGGAACGCACACTTGTGTGATGAAAAGTTTCTGAGTGTAGTGGATCTTAACGACACCTCTCCTAGCGTGTTTTGTATCAACTTGATCAGAAAATCTTTTTCCTACATCGCAGGATAAGAATTATGTTTAGTTTTGCAATGACGATTTACGCTACATACATGAAATGAGAATACTCGTTTTTGGATGTGCTACAGCTACATGATAGTATTGCTATTTGTGTTAAATCTTCTTGTTGTCCTTCTTTATGGCAGATGCTATGATAGTGAATTCTGAAGCAGCTATAGCTGAAGCAAAACTCAACATTGAAAACTTAAACTTCCAACTTGAGAAGGTGCGTGTTGAGCTAACATCAAAGGAAGATGAGGCCAAATACCTTGTACGCGTCAAGGAGAAGCTGGAACAGGAAAAGATGGATATTCAGCTGAGTGCTGATAGTCTATCTGCAAAACTGATTGCCTCAGACCAGGAGGTCAAGAAGCTCGAGGGCTTTGTACACTCTTTGGTAACTGAGTTGGCTGAATTCGACAAGAAGAACTTGGCCTTCATGGAAAACTTTGATAAGCTAAATGGTTTATATAGCACTCACCTTATGTTGCTCCAAAAGGATAGAGATATTGCTTCTGATCGTGCTCAAAGATTATATAATCAACTCCAAGGAGAGTTCTCGACTGTAACTGTCCAGAAAGAAGCTCTGCAGTCATCAGCCAACGAGTTATATGAACAGAAAGAGGAACTAAAGAAAGCTAAAGAGTCATTGGCTTCTCAACTATCCGAGGAACGCTGCTCCGCAAAGCAGGCAATTGCAAAATTAGAGTCTGAAGCAAAATGCCTAGTTTCAACAAATGCTGAGACAGAAGCAGTATTATCGGAGCTGAAAGAGGAAATAAAAGCTTTGTTGGAAAATCTGAGGGCCTCAGAGAATAAAACGGTACATATTATATCTCTTTCTAAAGTCTCTATTGAATTATCAATGCACAGTTGCAATGCATAATCTGTTCATGTGTCCTGCAGAAGGAATTGTTGTTAGAGCTTTCAACATCAGAGACTGAAAGCAAAGGGAAATATGAGAAGCTGCAAGCTGATGCACAGAGAAAGGCTGAAGAAATGGAGATTTTGCAGAAGGAGAGCGAGAGCAATCAGCTGCGTGTGGAATCATTATTGAAAGAGGTGAACCAGCTCCAAAGCGTTATTGAAGAGAAAGATCTTCTTATCAATCAATGCAAGGAAAATGAGAAGAAGCTGAACCAGAAAACAACAGAGGTTTGAGAAGATGGATATTGGACAAGGCTTTATGAGTATTATTCACCTTTTAGTACTCACCAAATATTAACTCTATTGCAGGACAAGGAGCTACTAGCTGCTGCTGAAACCAAGCTTCTAGAGGCGAAGAAACAATATGATCTGATGCTGGAAAATAAACAGTTGGAATTATCTAGGCACTTGAAGGAGTTATCGCAAAGGAATGACCAGGTATATCTGGATCACTTTCTTCATATATATGCTTGAATAGTATACAGATGATTTACGTAGAGCCCTTAATTGATTCCAAATATAACGCACCCCAAAAAATTGACGTATATGCTTCTCTGGTGCTTTTAGGCGATTAATGAAATCCGGAGGAAGTATGATGAGGAGAAGCAGGAGATTATTAAAGCTGAAAAGGAAAAGGTATTTGCTGACATAATTTTAAATTGCAATCGACCGAGCAATTATTGATCATGGTTCTGATTTCAGGCTGAGAAGGTTATCAAAGAGTTATCCACTAAATATGATAAAGAACTTTCTGACTGTAAAGCTGAATCAAAGCGACAATTGCTGACCACTCAAGAGGGTCACGCTTCTCTGGTATAGTAATCTTTACTTAAACCTGATTTTTCTGAACATTAACAAGCATGAATAAGCTTATGCATGTGTTTACTAGCAGAAGATGCACATACGAGAACCAATGTCCCTTTTCTCTGGCTTTTCTGTGTGTATGTTTAATACTGCGCAGGTTTTCAAGTAGCAAACAGGCTACTAATAAATCTGCCATGTTCTGCAGATACTCACTATTCGCGAGGAACATAAAAATAAAGAGTTCAATCTCAAAGCCAAGCACGATGAGGAACTGAGACAAGCGCAGATTCAGGCCGAAACTGAATTGAAAGAGGTAACAACTGACACAATTTGATAGGAATATGGAGACTCTGGTATTCAAGTGATTTAATTATATCATGCAGAGGATAACAACAATCAGGAACGAGCATGATGTTCAACTGAAAGCATTTAAGTGTCAGTACGAAGATGATTGCAAGAAGCTGGAAGACGAATTAGATCTTCAGAGATCAAAAGTTTGTGTTTACCAAAATTCATTATAAGATAGCACGTGTAATAGGTTAACCTACTGACGTGAATGAGTTACCGTTGCAGGAAGAGAGGCAAAAAGCTTTGTTGCAGATGCAGTGGAGGGTTATGAGTGACAAACCTCAAGAAGAACAAGAAGCGAACTCTAGGAAGGTTAGACCAACAATCATTTTGATCCACTGAAGTATAATACTTTAGTTTATATTGATTGCGAGTACTTAATCATCATCTTGCAGGAATACTCTGTCTCGTCTGCGAAAGTGAGAGGCTCTCGTCCACCTGTTAGCAGGAAAAGCCAGCACACAACAGTGATGCTTGATGACGATGAACAGGTACAAAATATAAAACACCATCTTGTTTCTGCTTTTGTCAAAGTTTTCACATATAATGTATACATCATCCTCCCTCATGGATGAAATGCAGGATTCCCCTTTTGTAAAGGAAGCAGAAACACCAGTGACAAAGATGTTCAAGAAAGCTGAAGATACAAATACAAGAAGCATAATGAGCAGTCAAAAGCAACATAGCAAGGTATAAACATTGATAACAACCTTTAACATCAGCTCGCAATCTCATCATCATTTTTTTTTGTGGGTTAACGTGGGCAGGTGACTCGTCGTGAATATGAAGTTGAAGCGAAGGATGGGAGGACCACAAAGCGAAGGAAAACAAAAGGCACTATCATGTTTGAGGTAACCTATTCTGCGCCAAGTAATCCTTTGGTTTGGTTCAACAGCCATTTTCTCTGAATTTTGGGAATCACCTTTGTTATGGGTACAGGAACCACAAAGGCGATCGACTAGGTTTACACCCAAAGCTAAGACCCCCAGAAGTATCGCTAAGGTAAAGATAGATCCCAAAAGCTTTGCTAGATATTACCCAAAATAAACTAGTGCTGAAGCAGGGTTGGTTAACTATCCCTCAAGTAAACTAGCTTGCGTTATATTTTGATCGCCCTTTCTATACTAGAATAAATATTTCAAGAGTTAAAGAGAACATGAATATGAGTCGTAAATGTTATGGCTTAGGTTCGGCAGTTTTAAGGTTTAACGCAGAGAGAGTGTTGAACATGCGCAGGTGGCAGCAATAAACAGCCATCCACCACGATCTGCAAACATTGGAGATCTGTTTTCAGAAGGCTCCCTCAACCCTTACGCTGATGATCCCTACGCATTTAACTGAGTTGAATCTAAGCAACAAAGCTCCGGATCCTAAAACCCTGTTCCTCATACTACTACTCTTAAGCTCTGCTTTGCTACGCTATGACGAAGTTAAATAAATGTCAGACAAACGTGTGATTACCTAATTTGCATCAAACTTTCTCATTTGTTAATTGAGGGTGTGTATAAGGTTGTGGATGTTATAGAACTCGTCACTGCTTACAGATATGTTAAACCGTATCTTTGATAGTTACTCTTCCACGATTTCAAAAAACAAACACAGTTAACTTTAGGAAAAAAGTTTCTGAGCTACACGAAGTTTACACTAATATGTTGGAAACAATCCAATGTATAAAAATGTGTCAAGAACTACACGAAGTATATGTTAATACATGTCACATGTACAAAGTAAATGATATTATGGTGGCAACATCACAATCGGATTTAATTGTTCTTAAGCTAAGTTAATGGGGTCAATCCGTAATTTATGAAATTTAATAAACTTAATTGATTTTAATTATTAAAGTTAATAAAATTAATAAACATAATATTTTGTAAAACTTAATAAAATTAATAAATTTAATATTTTTTGTTGAACTTAATAAATTAATTAAACTTAATAAATTAATTAAACTTAATAAAATTATTAAACTTCATAAACTTAATAAACTTAACAAACTTAATAACTTATAAACTTAATAAGTTATTAAACTTAATATACTTAACAAACTTAATAAACTTAATGATTTATTAAGTTTAATACATCTTATTAAGTTTAATAAATCTTATTAAGTTTATAAAGTTTATTAAGTTTTTAAAAATTATTATGTTTAATANAAACTTAATATACTTAACAAACTTAATAAACTTAATGATTTATTAAGTTTAATACATCTTATTAAGTTTAATAAATCTTATTAAGTTTATAAAGTTTATTAAGTTTTTAAAAATTATTATGTTTAATAAGCTAGAATCCTAAAACTAATAAACAAAATAATTTAATAAATTTATTAAGTTTAATAAGTTTAATAATTTATTAAATTATTATGTTTATTAAGTTTGCTAAGTATATTAAGTTTAATAAGTTATTAAGTTTATAAGTTATTAAGTTTGTTAAGTTTATTAAGTTTATGAAGTTTAATAATTTTATTAAGTTTAATAAAAAAATTTAAGTTTTAAAAAAAAATATTATGTTTATTAATTTTATCAATTTTTAAAAAAAAATATTACGTTTATTAATTTTATCACATTTTTTTAAAAATATTATGTTTATTAAGTTTATTATTTTATTAACTTTAATAATTAAAATTAATTAATTTTGTTAAGTTTCATAAATTATGGATTGACCCCATTAACTTAATTTAAGATCAATTAAACTCGATTGTGATGTTGCCACCATAATATCATTTACTTCGTACATGTGGCATATATTAACATATACTTCGTATAGTTCTTGACACATTTTTAACATTGGATGGTTGCCACCATATTCGTGCAAACTTCGTGTAGCTAAGAAACTTTTTTCCTTAATTTTATTAAATTTGAGCAGTTCACATTATAAAAAGCCATCGAAATCTTTATTAAGCAACCGAACTGATGAAGATCCCTTTACATGAAGATAGACAAATGGAAGTAGCAAAATAAGCTGATAGAAACATAAACCCCAAGAGGCGGCGATCAATCATGGAGATGGGAGAAAGAAGAGTAGGAAGAAAGTTGAAAGCAACAGAACCAAAACCACGAGAAGAAGTAGCTCCGTCAAGCTGCAAAGCTTAATCCAACTCATCCTTTTCTTCTCAATGGCAAGCTTCCTCCTCAGATCCTCTATTTCACTCCATGTCTCTCCTTTCTCCTGAGATTATCGGAGTTATTGTCATCAACTGTAGCAAATACGAACTAGTAAGAAAAAAAAAAAGGTTCTAAATCTAACCTCGCCGGTGGTATCAATGGTGACCGTCTGATCGCGGAAATAAGCGAGTGAATAGAGAAGCCTGGAAGCTCTGGCGCATCGGATTGCAACTCTCTCTCTGATCGATTCCTCTTTACCTCTCATCGCTCTCTCGGCTTGCTTCTCTGTGTTTCCGATTTTGAGCTTCGAGACTATATAAGGCGAGAGTTATAACGGAACGTTGAATATAGTGGTGTCTTGCTACAGGTGACAGGTGTCAATATATGATTAGTGACAATAAATCAAAATTTGAGCTAGAAAACTAATCCAGAAAATGTGCATTTTACAACTTCTTGGAATTTCCCGCTTAAATCCGAATGATTCATTCGCGTAGGGCTTCCACTTCAAGTCTAAAACTACTACTAAATTATTTGGGCTTTTTCTAAGGCCCTGATCTTTAATACCCACTTCAACTATGGTTGTTTTGATCATTAATCTGGAATTTCGCCAGCTGAGTTTAGGGTATGAGTTTGTAAATGTTAAACATTGTTAAGCTAGACGAAGAATTAAGCAAAATGATTTCCCATTAACCCAGTCACAATTTACCGCCAATACTATAGAGTGACAGATTATATTTTTCACCGTAGCTACATTTTCATCACATCACTAATCTCCGTCTCGTGTCTATATGTCAGGTTGCATCTTGGTATTGTTCCTCCCACCTGTTACGATAGCTCTTAGGTAAACACATCTTATCATCTTTCATATATAATCCCTACATTTGATTTCAATACTTGTCCATAGTATTACAAAAATGCATCGTGGCCTGCTGCTACTGAACCATAATCTTGGTTTATAACAGCTTTATAAATAATCCTTTTAGATACCCTCCGGCGATATTATCGATAGTGACAACACTCAAAAGTTATCTTGTCAAACTCTGGCATATATAATTCCGTGTACGTGTTATCTCAAGTACAATTCAATGCAAATACCAATACGTTGTGAGATCTAAACCATGAACTAAGATATGGAATATTCTTCGTAGAAAGCATATAATAAAAACTTTTGGTACGTGGAGTGTATATACATAAGTACTTTCTCCTTTATCTAGTCTTGATCGTTCATATTATTCCGTACAAATTTTCATACATTCAGTAACCCTGAAGACACTAGCACAGAAGCCTAAGCAAATTCGATGGTTTAAACAGTTTTGTGGAGCTGTGATCATGTGGGTGCATGAATTTGCAGTTGGGACAAACAGGAGTTGACGTGGAGAGCATAACCAGCATGTGGCACTTCATGCACACTTTTGTGACCATCTCTTGCTCCTTTTGATCATCAACATCACCACCGTCAAACGCAAGCCATGACAATGATCGGTTTAATCCTATTCCAGTCGTGGTCTTCTTACTCGGGCTTGTCAAATTGTTACCATTCGATGATGACATGTAATTTGAGGATTCTTCTATTTTCGTTGTGGTTCTTGTAGGTGAATATGAAGGTGAAAGGTTTAGCTCAAGGTCTAAGCTCATCTTTGGTCGCTCAACATGCACCGGATCTTTGAGGTATGTCCTATGATCCTCAGATGTTCTTGAATGGCCCTAAAAAAAATATACAAAACATGTTTTAGATGCAAACATATATATATCGACAATAAAAAAAAAATACATATATGAATATATATACCTTAGTCTCTGTGGTTAGAGGAGTGCGGAGGTGAAGTTCAAAATCAAAGGTAACTGATCTCATACTCTCTGAGTTTGATCCTTCGTTGAACACGGTTCTCTGAAGTTTTCCTTGTGTTTGATCATCTTGTTTGATCTTCTTGAATGAATTGTGAGACTCTTGTCCATAGGCTGTGAAATCCCTCTTTCTGGAGAAAAGGGTTCCTTCTTGTCGAGAAACCATTAGCCTCAGTCTTTGGGTTCTACTGAGTAATTTATACGTATAAGGAAAGTTTAAACTCTCTTTGATCCTGTGAGGAAATGAGCAGATAGACTTGAAAAGTATGTAAAGGTCGTCTCTATTTATATACATGTTGGAAAATCTTCAGGGGAGTTATTGTCTCCACCGGTTCATAAGGAGTAATTGAATTAGATACCAATATAAGAATTTATTAATGGTTGATAAATTAGATACTCTTAAATAAATAAAAATATAAATATATAGAATTTTCAAAGACTTACTCCTAGGCAATAAAATTGATCTGCCGACTGCTGCATTTTAATTTGGATTTTTGGAGGAATAAAAAAGAGAGAGGGAAGTAATGAGAAGTATGATGTGTGAGTTCCAAGTTGGGTGTCTTCAATAACTCCAACCAGTCTCATTTAAATGCTTAGATGTGAAGTGCTAACCGCTTTCTTTTTCTGGTTTTCCCTTTCTCCTCTACCACCACCATTATCATCATCTTATTGTCATCAAAAATCATCTTTAACTACTTAATGTTCTTCGATATATTGTTAAAATCTGAAAAGGAGGGAACCGTTTGTTGGTTAAGTTATATGGATGTATTACGTATGTATCATATATGTATGTGTATGTGTATGCCTCATTTGGTGATAAGAATGGTGTACGTGAAGGAAGAAGAGTTTGGAAATAGGGAGGTCAATAAATGGAGAGACAATAAAGACAATTAAAGATGGGAGAAGGGAAGGTTGATGAATTGATGAATGCCGATGCAACTTTAATACTCACATTAACTCCTACTCCCATTTTTGGATATATAACACAAAATATACACATTACTAACCAACCTCCTTCACACAACTTTATTATAGTTCTATTTTTTATGACCTAACAACAAGGTACTCTAGACAATTTAAAATAATCCCAAGTCAGTTTTATGAAATGGGATTTACTGGATTCTTATAGTCTGATTGTTTGGATGACTCCGTCGTATTATATAATCATGTGAATATGTGATAGGAGTTATGGAAAACTGTTTAATGTGATTAAATGGTTTATATATAACTAAACTAAATAATTAATATCTTATTTTACCAAAAAAAATGAATATGTTGAAATAGTTCATACACTTCTTTACCTCATGTGGCATGATTGTACGTTTAGATATGTTAATTCATTGATCTAATACAACAAGTTGACCCTAAAAACAAAAACAATTTCAATAATTATGTTAGCTTGGCTTCCACGTTTATATTTTCGGCTCTTTAATTTGGCTAGTTTCCCCATTAATTCTTTCCTTTTTTTGTAACGAAAGTTTCATCATAAATTTTACAACTTCTATTTTCTCTATTCTTAACAATCTGAAACGATATAAGAGAGAAGGATATCTGAAATGGTGTTTTTCAAGTCAATTTACTCTTTTTTTTTTTTTTTTTTTTTTTTTGGACAACATTCAAGTCNTTTTTTTTTTTTTTTTTTTTTTTTTTTTTTTTTTTTTTTTTTTTTTTTTGGACAACATTCAAGTCAATTTACTCAAGATATGAATAATGACGAATTATACCGAAACGATAAGTTGCACCCGATGTCTCTATATATATATATATACTGCTCCACTTAAAACTGCGAATCTCACTCATAGGAAAATGTATCGAGTTAGCTTTACTTGTATTGTTTGATCGTTTATTTATTTTGTTACGTGATCATGAAAACCATATTTTTCCTTTAGGGGTTATGGTGAGGAAGCGGAACGTATAAGCCATATTTTCTTTTAGGGTTTCATATATTGACTGTGTTTAACTGTGTGAACACACACATAACAGTCGGTGTGTTTATTAGACAAACTAGACATCATATGATATACTACTTATATGTATCGCAAAAACAAAACTCCAACAAATAATAATTGTCATTCGTGTTGATGTGCATACAATTTTGATGATAAACCAATAAAGTGTAACACACAAATGCAAAAATTTACAGTAAACTCGTGCATTAAAACCTAATATATGTAAAATATTACAATAAACGTACTATAAACTTTCAAAGGATGGGAGATCAAGCCTTTAAAGCTCTCAACATCCGCTCCTCCATGCATGCAACTACAATTAACACTCATGTCTTCTTCTTTTCAATTTATTTCGTACTATAAACTTTATTTTCATAAATTATAATATACTGGAGTGTAATTTTTAAAAACTGTTTGAAAGCTACAACGAATTATCGGTAACCTGATAAACCTACACGGTTAGATGGAATAATAATTTTGAGTCTCTCAGTTAATATAATTATTTTCTGACATAAATTAGTTGCTATTTCCTGGTGGAAGAATTAAATATTCAGTACTTGTCTACCCGTTTCCATTAAATAATTGTGAACCGATTATAAATGCGAAATTCAAGTATATGCATTGAAGTATATATCTACTTGTCAATTGATCATAAATTTTATCATACATCTATCAAACCATATGAATTACGAATGCGTCAGCCCATTGAAAAACATACTAGCTTAACAAATTCTCATGTGTACTTTGTTAGATTCTTCAATTTTGTTTACACATATTGAATTAGATATAATGATTAACAAGAATCAGTTAAGGTATGCTCTCATAACGGCCAAGGTTTTGTGTGTTGCGGATGATTCCATGCAAGATATCACAACGTGCGCATAGATCAGAGACCTCTACGTACGGCTTTTGGGTTTTGACCCTTTTTTGTGCTACTTTAAGTCGTATCAACTCTTTACGCTACTGTTATCCTGTTATACGATCGGCTTCTGTATAACATTAATGTAAGAAAGTCAACAACATATAATAAAAACATCTAATGTAAAGTTAATACTACGAGTAAACAATTTATTTGAAAACAAAATGCATGTGACGATGAACATTAAATAGGGTATATGTTCTTATTGATTACGGTTGATTTGCCCAAGAATTAGGTTTGAGAAGATGTGTTGATAATTTGAAATAAATGCATCACCCGTCAAATAAAATTTAAATGCAAATGAAATTTTTGTAGTGCCAGAAAACATAAATAATAAATATGCTATATATAATCCTTTTTCGAAAGAAAATATATAGCATATAGACTATTTTTGAATATCCTCCTCAATGGATTATATAAGGCAGGACACTATAGAAGAACGTATTTTAAGTTCGTGTACTTATTGTGCTAATGGCTACAGAAAAATTATTAGTCTAAAAACTCAGTCTTAATCCGATGCCCTGGCCTTTTTGTAAATTTGATTTTACATTCTACATAGTTTCAGTTCGAAAAATTTAATTGGATATTAATGATTCTTTTTTCTTTTGGGATACACGCCTGATCGTGCATGGTTTAGTATTAATGTGAATGATAGCGATTGGGGAGTTTGTTTTCCGTTGGGATAGGACTTAGGAGAGAGTTAAGAGACTTTAAATGGGCTAAACATATTTCAACAATATTCAACGGCTTGTTTAAATTTTATCCCTAATAAGTCTAAATTTAACAAACTGCTAATTGAGATAGTGATACCATTAACTAATTGGACAGTTTTTCTCCAATGCCTACATCATTATTTTCCCACAACTAGTTCTCAAAAACTGTAAAGCCAATAAAAGTGTTGAGAAGGCATGCAATTGAGTTGGTAGAGAATTAAACTATGATTGGGCCGGGTAAAGACATCAAATCTAGGCTGGATTGACCAGTTCTAGACAGAAACAAAGCCCATATATTAATGTTGAAAGCAAACAGAGAAACAAAACTAATTTGATGAGAATGAAGGGGTGAAAAGTATGGATGGTTAATGCAGTACTGGTTCCTTACTAGACTGCAATGAAGTTCTCTTTTCTTTTGTGATAATCTGTTTATTTGCTTGTTTTTATAAGTAAAAAGGATGAACTTGTTGTATAAAAGCTTTTTTTTGGTGAATAAAATTTAACTTCATTCAAAAAAAAAAAAAACAGAGAACCAATTAGTGGATATGTGCTACAAATTTTCTCTTTGCAAAATTTTGAAATACAGAGAAACGGGCAATTCAAAATATCCATTTTGACCACTAATTAAGTCCATAGCGAACAATCTTATTAGACGTGGTAAACGGAAAGCAATTAGTGAATGTCGTTTGTGTTAAGGCACAAGGACATGAGTTATTGAGTGGCTGACAACACTTTAAGCTTTCCGTGTCTTTTAAGTCGAGTGGCCAGAATCTACCTCCTTACTACTCTCTCCATCATCATAAATATTTAATTTACTGTGAAAATTAGCAATACAAGGTTATTGTAAGACATACGGGCCGTGGCTTGTGTGCCTCTGCCTAGATGGCCAGACCAATGGGTTTAATTAGGATTATTGTAAATTTTGAAAATGGCTAAAAGTTCGGGTTTGTGAGTAAGTGACTGTACAGTTAAGAGATGTTACGAATATGGCTTAGGAACATGCCCATATTTCTACCACAATCACTCAAGTAACAATCTATAAATTTAATTTTAAGTGAGATAAATATAATTTCTGGAAGAAGAAGATGAGATGTACCAAAGGGAAGGATAATATTTGCAGAGAAAAAACTCTTAAAATAAAATAAATCCCTCTCATTATGGCGAATTGATATTTGCCACGAGAACAAAGCTAACAAGAATGGATCTTGCTGCTGAAAGAAGTGGCATATATTTCTTCTACCAAAACAAACAAGCTACAACTAAAACAAAACAAAAACCTATTTTCTTGGGGTATACTATGACTATCTATCATGTGAAGCAATCTAAACGAGAACTAGTCGTCTTTGACCTTCAGGAACCATTTGAAATCAGAGAACAAAACGCTATAATGAAGATTATATGATGAGGGAATAGCGTTGGTGTATATATAGATATAGAGGCGCCCTGATGTGTCGTACTTCCAAAACCCTAATGCTCCTTTATGTGTAACGGTTTAGAAACCATAATGGGCCCATCTAACATGTAAGCCTGTAGATATGAATGGCTCGGAACAAGTGAATAATTAATGCTAATTAACCTTTATAAAATTGATACAAAGAAGAATTTATTTAAAGACTAAACCGGGGTTAAGACTCCGGTTAGTTACAACATGAAATTAGCAGAGACAAAGACAAAAACAACAAAAGAAACAACAGAACAATACAAGAAGAAATAAAGAAAACAACAATGAGCTCTTTATCTCTGGATCTAAGATCACATTTTGAGTCCAGAGATTATTATTCATAACGAACAAAACAGGAGGAAAAACAACAACATATTCTTGAAATTACAGACTCAGCAGCGTATACCATTTCACTTCTTCAGCAGATTCCTCGAGAAAATCCTCTTGCAATAAGGATTATTACGCAGAATCGAATGTGGCCTTATCACTTCCACTAGTGAAGCATGAAGTGGACCCTGTTGATATGTTCAATTCCGGTTTAATTTGGTTCAAACCCAAAAAAAAAATTAATCAACTTGGTTAGTACCTTTGTGGCGGCAAGAGCCGCTTGGATGACGAAATTGGCGTAAGGGTCTTGAAGGAGGTGATCAAAGTGAGGAACAGAGACAAGCTCACGCACTATCTGTGGACGACTCTCTGGACAATGCATGAGACATCTCTCCACCATGTGGCTACTGAACTTCTGCATGGATAGCTGAACGTAGTGCCCTTTTAGCTGAGCCAACATCATGGCCACGGCTGAAGGTATCCGCAGTTCTATAACGAATTGCACTGCGTAGTTCCTGCAAGTAAAAAAAGATATTGATCATCCAAAAAGGCCAAAACTGAAATTTAGTGGGTTCTGAAAAAAACATTTTTATATTTTTTTACTAAAAAAAACTATTTTCGAATTTTACCAAAAAAAAATATATTTTCGAAATTTGGAGACCATGCACCTAACCTATGTATAATGGTTTTAAAAAAATTTAAAGGGCAAAACAAATGTTTCATTTGCTCTGTGTCTAGAACCGGCCATGTGTGTATGACTATCATGTTTACCCAAAGGGGTCTTGAGCAAGAGGGAGACTGTTTCTTGAGATTTCAGCGATCAGTTTCTCTCTTTGTTGCCTCATTGAATAAGCAATGCATTTTTGTAGCACACAACACCCATGTCGATGTGTTGCAATCTCAGTACAGAACTTTGTCGCTGCATCAAAGATAAACTGTCCGAAACCAAAAACAAAAAAAACATTTAACCTAAATATGATATGAATATCATTAGTAACAAGAGAATGAACTTTTTGTTTGTTTCTACCTTGTTATCTTCTGTGCCAAGGCATTGCAAGCAACGTTGAATCACATGGTTTCCATTTAAATCCTTGATCAAATCAAGAAAACCAGGTCTCAACGCAGATTTCACCATAGAAACCTGCTTTCCTGTTCTGATTGTTTCCACTAATCTCTGAACAACTCGAGTACTACAAAACAAAACAAAAAAGCTTTAGAAAATTATCCTTAAATCAAAACATCATATGTAAAGATAATGTTTAATTTACCCGTATGCGTTGAGAGATATCCTGATAAGTTGACCAGGCTCAGCAGTTGCAACGAGCACGATCTGCGTCCTCTGTTCTTCAGTACAAACATCAAGAAGCTTCTGCATCAAGTAATTCCCAAAAGGATCCATCATAAGCTCAACCACATGGGCTATAACTTCATTGAATATAACCATGGCGTCAACAGGAGTTCCTTCATCGAAAATCCTCTGTAAGAATCTACATCCATGTTGGTCTTTAGCCATCAAATACACGTATCCTTGAATGTCACACACGTTAGGTAGACTCGTGTGACATATCTCTGTAGTGTTGTTTCCATAATCAGACATCAAGCCTCGAGTAACACTAGTTCTCTGAGGTTCCATGAAGAAACTCTCCTCGGAGGCAAATGGTTCAGAGCCTTTAGAAGTCTGATCTCCTTGGCAGAACAATGGCAACATGTCTGATGCTGTTGGTGTTCTGTAGTAAGCTGAGTGTTCTATTGTTCCTCCTCCTCCTCCTAGATTCAGACCTAGCCCTAACATATCCTGACCATTGATATAAGGACAGTTACGGCTTGAGTAGCTAGGCCATCCAACTTGACTAGAGTTGGTTGTTGAATCTTGAGTTTGATTACCAAACATGTCTCTCTTGTCGTCGTTTTGGTCGTTGTTAAACCATGTGTCACATGACTCCTTTTGCGTGTAGAAGAATCCACCATTGTTCCTTGGCTCATACCTCGATTGATCAAGAATGGATGCGAGAGGATCATCTGCGACATCTTCTTTAATTTTCATACGGTAGAGGTCGTTGCACAGACCAAGATCATTACTGTTAACACTCTTGTCATGATGCTGATATGTGAATGGAGGAGAAGAGTGATTGTACTTAGAAATAAGCTCATTAAATGGAGGAGAAGCAGAGCTATCATCGGAAGAGTAAAATCCATTAGAGAAGGAACTCGAGAGAGAAAAATCAGACAAAGAGTTGAAAGAGAATCTGTTGTTGCTGGGAGAGAAGTCTCTATGAGTGTAGTTTGGATGGAGAAGACTTTGGTTTGGAGAATGAGACGGTGTTCGTAGAGGAGACGAAGGAGACAAGGCTTCTCGAAACTCACTCATCTTCATTTATATACCTTTATAACAAAAAACAAGTAAAACATACATAAATATAAATAAAAGATTTTCAAAGAGAAAGTAGAATAGTTTGGTTTCTTTACAGTTAAATCTGTTGTTTAAGCCATTATAATGAAAATGAGAAGTTTAAAATCACTGAGTGGCTAAGGAGAAGAAGAGAGGTAGAGTAGGGAGTGTGAATATTCTGAAAATCTATTACTTTCGTGTAACAGTTTTTAAATTACCTTTTTCAGGGAAATAAATAACACAACTTAGATATCTCATCGATTAACTATTTTTGACATTGTACCTAATCATTTACAATTTTTACGGATTCAATATGAGACTAAATCAACAAATACAAATTTAGACTAAATCTTTATCTATTATTAATTATCTAAGCTTTTGAATTGGTAAAACTTTTTGGTCTTTTAAAAAACTTGTTCAACTAAAGCAAAACTACAACTACTAAGTATTCTACTATAGAATACACATATGAATAATATTCCTAAGCATAAATTTATTGTAGAAATGCAGATGCCACATTCATATTTTAATGGTTTCATTATGTAACAAATATTAGTAATTAAACAGCTTGCAATCTTTGTACTAGTTTTTCACTTTTTCTCTAAAATAATGTTCTTCTTTAGAGAAATTGTGCCCAATACCCTAAAAAGAAAGTATATTTAGGTAAATGGAGATGAAACTATACAGACACTACACTGTTAAATTCAAATAAACTCGAGTATACCCCTATGTAACTACAATCATATATCCTTGTTGTCTGACGAATACATTCCTATTAATTTTTTACAAGTAAGACTATTTAATCACTTTTCCAAAGAAATAAACAAAATAGCATACGTATCTCTCGGTTTACTATTTCTGATATTAATCATTTGCAATTTTTACGGATTTAATATAAGACTAAATCACTGCTAAAAAGACTAAATCAGCAATTACAGATATAGCTTACATCTTTATCTGTTATCTTAGCTTTTGAATCGGTAAAAACTTTTAAAAACCTTTATCAGTTAAAGGAAAATATAAGACTATTGAGTATTTTACTAAAGAACATATATAAACTATATTTCTATAAATATTATTTGTTAAATACTAAAATAATAAATGTATTGTAGAAATGTAGATGCCACATTCAGAATTTAGTGGCATCTTTATGTAAAATAAAAATATATTAGTAATTAATTATTATATGTGTTAACGTTATGTTTAAAATAGAACACATCAAATATATTTAAAAATCGAAGTTCTACTTAAAATATTAAACTTATTTGGCTAATTTTAGNAATAATAAATGTATTGTAGAAATGTAGATGCCACATTCAGAATTTAGTGGCATCTTTATGTAAAATAAAAATATATTAGTAATTAATTATTATATGTGTTAACGTTATGTTTAAAATAGAACACATCAAATATATTTAAAAATCGAAGTTCTACTTAAAATATTAAACTTATTTGGCTAATTTTAGTATATTTCCTATTGATTAGGGAATTGAACTGAATTTTAATGATATATTTGTAAATATATTTACATTAGTTTTCCAGTTGTTTCTCTATAAATTATGTTTTTCTTTAATCGGTAAATTTTGAACCCACAGAACTTTCTTACTATTTAATAAACACAGTAACAACATTATTGAGTATTTTAAAAATGATATATATATATATATATATATAATCCAATATGTGGTAAATATTAAAATTGTGAATTTAATGAAGATAGCAAAAGTTAAATTCTAATTTTAGAGGCAGTATCACATGAATGTAAGAGTAATTTGGATATGAGTTAAGGTTTCAAGAATTTTATATAACATTAATTAGTCATACATTATGTAAATTTCAAACATAACACCCAAATTATTTATGATTTAAAAAATCAAATTTTATTTCAAGAATACTAAGACTATTTCTTATCATCTTAGTTAAGGCATTAACTTAACTATTATCTACACTGTGATATTGATTATTTTTAACGCATATTTAAATTAACAAAAATATTTTTATATATTTACCACATGAATTCATTACATAAAATAATAAAAATTCATATGTGTGTTAAAATTTCAATTTTTGTGATAAATCATTTATTAGTTATAGGTCATGTATACGTTTTAAACATGACACACACAAAATATATCTACTTACACAAAATATCTTTATAATAGAAAATATAGTTTAAGTATTATATTTATCCTCTTAATATTATACTTTCTTAGTATAATACTTGGTGGATTTTGACGTTATCTTTAGGAGACGACAAAACCTTTTCAAATGATTGGTAAACAATTTTAACACTATAATTTAGTTAATGAGTCTTTAAATAACTATACTAGCAACTAATACATGTTTTAAAATTTTCAAAAATTCATAGGGATTAGTCCACGACCAATTTTGTGGATTTTGACTATATCCCCAGAAGACGGCGAAACATTTTTAAAACGATTGCTAAGAAGTTTCAATACTATAATTTGGTTAATGGGTCTTTAAATAAGTATACTATCAAGAAATAGATGTTTTTAAAATTTTCAAAAATTCATAGATATTAGCCAAAGAAAAAATTAGTGAATTTTGACATAATCTTGAGGAGACGACAAAACATTTTCAAAACTATTGTTAAAAATTTTAATACTTTAATTTGGTTAAATGGTATTTAAATAGAAATACTAGCAAGAAATACACATATTGAAAGTTTTAAAATTTCAAAGGATTATTAACCCACGATCTTGAAAAAATTTGGTGGATTTTGACTATATCCTCGAAAGATGACAAAAGATTTTCAAAACAATTGTTAAGCATTTTAAACACTATAGTTTTGTTAATGAGTCTTTGAATAAATATACTAGCAATAAATTTTTTTTTTGAAATTTCCAAAAATTCATAAATGTTAGCCCACAACCTCGAAATATTTGGTGGATTTTAACGTTATCCTTAGGAGACAACAAAACATTTTCAAAATAATTGTTAAGTAATTGTAGCACTATATTTTGGTTAATATTTCTTTAAATAAGTATATTATTAATGTAGACATATTTTATATTTTCAAAAATTCAAATGGATTAGCCCACGAGCAATTTCGTAGATTTTGAGTATATCCTCAGGAGATGACGAAATGTTTTCAAAATTGTTAAGAAGTTTCAATACAATAATTTTGTTAATGGATCTTTGAATAAATATACTATCAATGAATACATCTTTTGAAATTTGCAAAAATTCATAGATATTATCCCACAAAAAAATTATGGATTTTGACATTATCCTCACAAGACGACGCAACATTTTCAAAATGATTGTCAAACAGCTTTAACACTAGAATTTGTTTAATGAATCTTTAAATAAGTATACTAGCAAAAAAACATGTTTTTAAATTTTCCAAAATTCAAAAGTATTAGTCCACGACCTCGAAAAGTTAGGTGGATTTTGATGTTATCCTCAGGAGATGACGAAACATTTTCAAAACGATTGTTAAACAGTTTCAACACTATAGTTTGGTTAATGGATCTTTTAATATGTATACTAGCAAGGAATACATTTTTGAAATTTTTAAAAATTCATAGAGATTATCCCACGACCTCAGATTGTTTTGTAGATTTTGATTACAACTTGAGAAGATGATTGTTAAACAGTTTCAACACTATAATTTGGTTAACGGGTCTTTAAACAAATATACTACCAAGAAATATATTTTTTGAAAAAATTTCAAAAATTCATAGGGGATAGCTCACAACTTCAAAAAATATGTGGATTTCGATGTTATCTTTGGGAGACAACGAAAGATTTTCAAAACAATTCTTAAACAGTTTCAACACTATAGTTTGGTTAATGAGTCTTTAAATAAGTATATTAGTAAGAAATACATGTTTTAATATTTTCAAAAATTCAAAGGCGTTAGCCTATGACCTCAAAAAATTTGGTGAATTTTGACTATATCCTCAAAAGACGACAAAACATTTTTGAAAGGATTATTAAACAGTTTCAATACTATAATTTGGTTTATGGGTCTTTGAATAAGTATATTAAGCCCACGACCTCGAAAAATTAGGTGGATTTTGACGTTATTCTTAGCAGATGACGAAACATTTTCAAAACAATTGTTAAATAGTTTCAACACTATAATCTTTTTAATGGGTCTTTTAGTAAGTATAATAGTAAGAAATACAAGTTTTGAAATTTTCAAAAATTCATAGGGTTGTTAGCCCACGACCTCAGAAATTTTTGTGGCTTTTGACGTTTTTCTCAAGAGACGACGAAACATTTTCAAACCGATTGTTAAACAGTTTCAACACTATAATTTGGTTAATGATTCTTTAAATAAGTATAATAGCAAGAAATACATGTTTTGCAATTTTCAAAAATTCAAAGGTATTAGTCCACAACCCCAAAAAATTTGGTGAATTTTGACTATATTCTCAGAAGACGACAAAACATTTTCGCAAGGATTTTTTAAACCATTTCAACACTATAATTTGCTTCATGGGTCTTTTAATAAGTATATTAGCAATGAATAATTTTTTTTTGAAATTATCAAAAATTCATAGGGTTAAGCCCACGACCTCGAAAAATTAAGTTGATTTGACGTTATGTTCAGGAGATGACGAAATATTTTCAAAACAATTGTTAAACCATTTCAACACTATAATTTGGTTAATGGATCTTTCAATAAGTATAATAGTAAGGAATACATGTTTTGAAATTTTCAATAATTCATAGGAGTTAGCTCACGACCTCAATTTGTTTTTGTGGATTTTGACTTTATCTTCATGAGGCAACAAAACATTTTCAAACGATTATTAAACAATTTCAGCACTATAATTTGGTTAATTGGTCTTTAAATAAGTATAATAGCAAGGAATACATTTTTTTGAAAGTTTCAGAAATTCATAGGGGTTAGCCCATGGCCACAAAAGTTTTGGCGAATTTCAACGTTATCCTCAGGAGATGACGAAACATTTTCAAAACGACTTTTAAGAAGTTGCAGCACTATAATTTGGTTAATGGATCTTTAAATAAGTATATTAGTAAGGAATACATGTTTTAAAAATTTTAAAAAATTCATAGCGATTAATCCACGACTTCGAAAAATTTGGTGGATTTTGACTTATATGCTAAGAAGACGACGAAACATTTTTCAGAATGATTGTTAAGTAGTTCCAACACTATAATTTAGTTTATGGATCTTTAAATAATTATGCTAGCACGTAATAAATGTTTTGAAATTTTTAAAAATTTATAGGGGTTAGCCCACGACTTCGAAAAATTATGTAGATTTTGATGTTATTTTCAGGAGATAACGAAACATTTTCAAAACGATTGTTAAAAAGTTGCAGTACTATAATTTGGTTGATGGATCTTGAACACACTTTGACTGCTGCGCGTGTTCCACGCGCACGTGAAGCCTCTTCTTTATGATCGATCCTGTTGCCAATCTGAAACGCAAATCCAAGCATTCGTCATCATGTTACCCACCCAAGATAAGAAGACACTAACAAAAAGGCGAGTATAATAATGTTTATGGTTGACTACTGTGACCCAAACCACCATAATGTAATTTGCAATAAGGCATGTGTTATTGTCAATAGGATATCAAAACTACACATATATTATCAATAATACATGAAATTGATTTGATATAAGCATTCACAAAGTCATAAATCCAAACATACAAGTAGTTCTAAAGATTAGGAACTGAAAAATACGACTTTAGTTAACATTTGTGAAAAGTTCAGACCAAACAAAAACCAAAGCAAACAATTTTAGTATCTGAAACCAAAGCTACATAACCAGTAGAGAACCAATCACAACCAGCTAATAAAAATTAATTTTTTGAGATAAAAATCAAAACCTGAACCAATCACATTGCACATTTCATCATAAAATCAACAGATTTGACAATCTAGATAGCACGATAACCTAAAGAGAGTTATTCGTTCAGACCTGTTTGTTGACTTCGACACCGACAGCACGTTTGGTTACGTTCCAGACACGACCGGTACCGTACGACCATGGTAGAACTTGTGAGGCATACCCTTGTGGATCGCACCGTTCACTTTCACATCGACGTAATCGTCGACCTTAAAGGTTCTCTCAGGTAGGTAGACAATGGGATTGTGCCCTTCTTTCTGAACCCCCTAGCGAACAGATCCCTTGTCTTAGCACGAACTCCATGTCCTGCCGGCATTTTTTTGTATGTCTTTTGAGCTTAAAGTTTACTTAGTTGGCCTTGCATTTTATTTGTAGTCTCTTCATATATTAAGAATTTTATATAATTAATTAAAAATAAAAAAAAAGTTATTAACAACTAATAAAATTATACACGTGAAATTATCATATGGATTTTCATAAAATTTGTTTAAAGTGGTTCAAAAAAAAAGACCGTAAAACTTGAATCTTATAAAATTGTTTATTGTATAGTAATCAATATATTTTTATGTAATACAAGAATATAAATCAATGTTGTAAAAAGATATAAACATGTTTAGGCTTATAATAAAGTGCTAAAAAAATGTAAACAAAAAAAAAAAGGAGAGGAAATGAATATTGTTCCTTTAATTAATTAGAAAACTCTTATAAGGAAGTTGATGAGTCAAAAAAGCTTAGATGAGTTTCTTCTTCTCAAAGTAATGCTTCAAGTAGGCTACTTGTAAACCAGAGACGACAATGCAAATACCTAGCGACATCATACTCCACCAAGCTACTCTCGAGTTTGTTTTCTCACTCACTGTTCTCATGTCTGCTTCCCTGCAATATAATTACCCATTTTGAATTGATCCATGAGAATTATAGTCAGCAAAAAAAGAAGGCAAGAAAAGTTAATATATGGAGATGAATATTTTTACTTGTTTCTTAGGTAGATTAGATTTTCATGGATGGCTTCCACTGCACCTTCAAGTTTCCTAATCTCCAGCTCCACTCCCTACGTTAAACAAGCAGCACATATAATGTCTTGAAAAAACAACCATGGGTACTACATAGTATAGTATACAGTGACAGTGATAATAAAGTAAAAACATAAAGAACATGTTTGAAAGCTGACCTCGAGCTTTTCTTTCTTAGCAATAGAAACCCAATCTTTAGCAGCGATTCCAGTTTTCCATTCAACGTTGATACTAACATTTTTGTTTCCATGACTCTTTGCATCTGCCCAAAAGCAAGCTATGTAGTTCCCTGATTCTTTCGTTGTAAATGCAAATTCCCCATGGGTCACGTTGTCCGAATGGTGTAGATTGTTTCCGTATGGGGACGTCACCTACATCACAAGAGAGTATCTTCTTCACCAAGTAATCATACTCTTACTTATAAAAACTATGATCTGGAAATGACAATTAGTACAGACAAAACCATATTAAAATCTCTCGTTCGTTGACAAAATCATTACTTGGTGAAGATGAGATAGTACCATTGCCACCAAAGAATTGAAACTGCCACCGTTAGGGCTAAGGTAAAATTTTAATCGCAAATGAAATAAATTCATTATAGCGATCAAATTAGAAAGACATGCAACATCATGTTCATAATTATCCAAATAAGGAAACTTATATCGAGCATTAACATACGCCTTTTTAATTCCTTATGGTGATTAATTTCAAACGTTTAGAGGGAAACAACCTTCTGATCTCTTGTAACTTCCGGATCAAGTAACAAAAAATACAGTCTCAAATCACGGAACAAGCGAGAAAATACTATGTTTCTAATTGAAGAAATTTACCTTGGCGGATATAGTAGGTACGGTGGAATGATCCTCAGATATGATGATATAATCGGCCAAGACAACGACATTGCTCTGTATTTCTTCAGACACACACTTCATCCCCGTGGGAGGCACGTCTAGCCAAATAGCCTCACCAACCGAAACCATAATGAACAGAAGGATTGCTGTCGGGATACCGTGACACATCGTGGCAGACATCTTCATCGAGCTTTCAAACTTTCTTATTGTATTCAACGATCCGTGTCTTGTGGTGGTTGTCAGATCTTTGCTCTCTTAAGTGTTTTTTTCTTTGTTTGTTCCTCTTTATTTTGTTTTCTTGGGTCTTATGGTATAGCCCATGGGCGGCCGTTTATGTTTGATCTCTCAACAACAAAAATAATGTTTGTGAAACGGATTATGTTTGAGCAGACATATAAATTACACAAGGATCTAATTAGCTGGTCATATGATGTACACTTAGGTTTGAAAGAAGCATCACATGGGAGAAGTATAAAATTCGAATCTTATCAGTTTTATTAGGCCCATTCGTGTAAGTCTGCCAAGTTGTTTATGTACTGAGTGGCTAAGGAGAAGAAGAGAGGTAGAGTAGGGGTGTGAATATTCTGAAAATCTATTATTTTCCGGTAACAGTTTTTAAATTACTTTTTTCAGGGAAATAAATAACATAACTTAGATATCTAATCGATTAACTATTTTTGACATTTTACCTAATCATTTACAATTTTTACGGATTCAATATGAGACTAAATCAACAAATACAAATTTAGACTAAATCATTATCTATTATTAATTATCTAAGCTTTTGAATTCGTAAAACTTTTTGGTCTTTTAAAAAACTTGTTCAACTAAAGCAAAACTACAACTACTAAGTATTCTACTATAGAATACACATATGAATAATATTCCTAAGCATAAATGTATTGTAGAAATGCAGATGCTACATTCATATTTTAATGGTTTCATTATGTAACACATATGAGTAATTAAACAGCTTGCAATCGTTGTACTAGTTTTTCGCTTTTTCTCTAAAATAATGTTCTTCTTTAGAGAAATTGTGTCCAATACCCTAAAAAGAAAGTATATTTAGGTAAATGGAGATGAAACTATCCAGACACTACACTTTTAGATTCAAATAAACTCGAGTATACCCCTATCTAATTCATACAATCATATATCCTTGTTGTCTGACAAATATATTCCTATTAATTTTTTACAAGTAAGACTATTTAATTACTTTTCTAAAGAAATAAACAAGATAGCATACGTATCTCATCAGTTTACTATTTTTGATATTAATCGTTTGCAATTTTTACGGATTTAATATAAGACTAAATCCCTGCTAAAAAGACTAAATCAGCAAATACAAATATAACTTAGATCTTTATCTGTTATCTTAGCTTTTGAATCGGTAAAAACTTTTAAAAACCTTTATTAGTTAAAAGAAAATTTAAAACTATTGAGTATTTTACTAAAGAACATATATAAAAACTATAGTTTAATTATGTGTTAAATACTAAAATAATAAATGTATTGTAGAAATGTAGATGCCACATTCAGAATTTAGTGGCATCTTTATGTAAAATAAAAATATATTAGTAATTAATTATTATATGTGTTAACGTTATGTTTAAAATAGAACACATCAAATATATTTAAAAATCGAAGTTCTACTTAAAATATTAAACTTATTTGGCTAATTTTAGNAATAATAAATGTATTGTAGAAATGTAGATGCCACATTCAGAATTTAGTGGCATCTTTATGTAAAATAAAAATATATTAGTAATTAATTATTATATGTGTTAACGTTATGTTTAAAATAGAACACATCAAATATATTTAAAAATCGAAGTTCTACTTAAAATATTAAACTTATTTGGCTAATTTTAGTATATTTCCTATTAATTAGGGCATTGAACTGAATTTTAATGATATATTTGTAAATATATTTACATTAGTTTTTCAGTTGTTTCTCTATAAATTATGTTTTTCTTTAATCGGTAAATTTTGAACCCACAGAACTTTCTTACTATTTAATAAACACAGTAACAACATTATTGAGTATTTTAAAAATGATATATATATATATAATCCAATATGTGGTAAATATTAAAATTGTGAATTTAATGAAGATAGCAAAAGTTAAATTCTAATTTTAGAGGCAGTATCACATGAATGTAAGAGTAATTTGGATATGAGTTAAGGTTTCAAGAATTTTATATAACATTAATTAGTCATACATTATGTAAATTTCAAACATTCACCCAAATTATTTATGATTTAAAAAATCAAAATTTTATTTCAAGAATACTAAATACTAGCAATGAATATTTTTTTTGAAATTTTTAAAAATTCATAACGGCCTCGAAAGTTTCAATTACTTAACAATCATTTTTGAATTTTTGAAAGTTTCAGAAATTCATAGGGGTTGGTTCACGGCCTCGAAAGTTTTGGCGGATTTTGACGTTATCTTTAGGACATGACGAAACATTTTCAAAACGACTGTTAAGAAGGTGCAGTACGAAAATTTGGTTAATGGATCCTTAAGTAAGTATACTAGTAAGGAATAAATGTTTTAAATTTTTCAAAAATTCATAGGGATTAATCCACAACCTCGAAAAATTTGGTGGATTTTGACTTATATGCTCAGAAGACGACGAAACATTTTTAGAACGATTGTTAAGTAGTTCCAACACTATAATTTTGTTTATGGATCTTTAAAAATTATGCTAGCATGTAATAAATGTTTTGAAATTTTTAAAAATTTATAGGGGTTAGCCCACGACCTTGAAAAATTATGTGGATTTTGACGTTATCTTCAGGAGATGACGAAACATTTTAAAAACGGCTGTTAAGAAGTTGCAGCACTATAATTTGGTTAATGGATATTTAAATAAGTAGACTAGTAAGGAATAAATGTTTTGAAATTTTCAAAAATTCATTGGGTTAGCCCACGACCTCAAAAAAATAGGTAGACTTTGATTTATATGCTTAGAAGAGGATAAAACATTTTTTAAAATGATTATTAAGCAGTTTCAACACTATAATTTGGTCAATGAGTATTTGAATAAGTTTACTAGCAATAAATATTTTTTTTAAATTTTCCAAAATTCATACAGGTTAGCACACAATCTCAACAAATTTGGTGGATTTTGACGTTATCCTCACGAGAGGACAAAATATTTTCAAAACGATTGTTAAGCAATCACATCATTATAATTTGGTTAATGAGTCCTTAAATAAGTATATTAGTAAGGAATACATTTATAGAAATTTTTCAAAAATTCAAAAGGATTAGCCCACAGCCTTGAAAATTTGCTAGATTTTAACTATATCCTTAAAAGAGGACAAAACATTTTCAAAATGATTATTAAGCAGTTTCAACACTATAATTTGATTTAAGATTCTTTTAAGTAATACTAGAAAGGAATGCATTTTTTGAAATTTTCATAAATTCACGGAGGTTAGTCCACAACTTCAAAAAATTTAGTGGATTTTGATATTATCCTAACGAGACAATAAAATATTTTTAAAATGATTGTTAAACAATTTTAATCTTATCATTTGGTTAATGAATTTTTAAATAAGTATAATAACAAAGAATACATGTTTTGAAGTTTTCAAAAATTCAAAGTTATTAGTGTATAACCTCGAAAAATTTGGTTGATTAGACGTTATCCTAAAAATACATTTTCACATGACTAAAAGCGATAAAAGGCCTGAAACTCAATTTTATAGCTGGGTTATTGGGCTTTGTTTTTGGATCCATATCCAAACGCAAAAGCAAAAAATGCTTTTTTCTTCCGACAAGGGGTACGACAAGATTCAAAATAGTTTGGTTCACGAGTTCTATGTGATTTTTTTGATTCACGACTTTGTTGTGATTTTATTTTTCCTTCTTTAAACGAAGCAACGTGCTCAATAAGCAGCCACGGAGGCCTGAAAAATGCTGATGAAGGTTGTTTCCAGTCGACTTTCTCCGGCGATTCTCCCAATTAGTTTATCATTTTCGCGGTTGCTTTCAGTCAAGTACTCCCCTCAGAGACTCACCCTTTTCTTTTCCATCTCATCTCGTGCATCTTCTGCCTCCGTTGAGTCCAAGTCACGTGTACGCGTTTTTTCTTCGTACCTTGATTAGGGTTTTGTTTGATGATGCAACTGATACATAACTTGTTTGATGGGTGCATCATGCATGCAGGTGGTTTCTGTTGTAGAGAAAGACACGAAGAACATTCTAGCTTGTCCCATATGCTATAACTCCTTAGCAGCATTGAATATTCATCCTCATGGATCAGTGTGAGTCCTCACTCTTCACTAATGTGAATGTGAATGTTGCTTAGGGTTCACAAATTAAGTGAATGCTCACTTTTCTTGGCTCGCAAGTTAAACTAGTTTTTTGTTTCTTTTACACCCGAACAGAGAAGCTCCTGCCTATGGTACTGAGTTACATTGCAGAACGTGTAAAAAGAGTTACTCAGCTAATGAGACGCATCTTGATTTAGCTGTGTCCAGTGGAATTAAGCATTACACTGAACCACTGCCTCTTTCAATCGAGTTGTTCAGGTACATGCATGATTATGCTTTTGGACTCTATTTTATCTTCCAAACTAACCGAAACTCTTTTGGCCTTTTTATTTATTTTAAAGGAATCCGTTAGTATCCTTCCTTTACGAGAGAGGTTGGCGTCAGAATTTCATGTGGGGTGGTTTTCCAGGACCAGAGAAAGAGGTCAACCACGGTTCTTTTATGTTATTCATCTAGCCATATGCATTAGTAACACTGTGTTACATTTTTATTCCACAGTTCGAAATGGCTAAGGAATACTTGAATAATGTTTTGGGAGGCAATATCATTGATGCTAGTTGCGGAAGCGGCATGTTCTCAAGATTATTTGCTAAGAGTGAGCATTTTGCTATGGTGTTCGCCCTTGACTACTCGGAGAATATGCTGCGACAGTGTTACGAGTTCTTGAAACAAGAAGCTAGCTTAACTATCAAAAAGTTTGTACTTAACACCTTTTTCTTCCATTATTGTCTTTAAGATCATGATTAACCAGGAGTTCTTAAGGCGGAGTTCTTAGCGGAAGTTAAGAAACTGTTTCTTAACTTTTAACTAAAAACGATAAGAACCAGTTCTTAAAGTCCTTATTTAAGAACCGGTTCTTAGCGTTTTTAGTTAAAAATTAAGAAACAGTTTCTTAGTTTCCGATAAAAACCCCGCCTTAAGAACCCAGGGTTAATCATGCTCTAATATGTTTGAGTAACCAGATGTGTTGTGTTTTTTTCAGGAAACTTGTTTTGGCACGTGCAGACATAGCTAGACTTCCGTTTCTTTCTGGTTCAGTTGATGCTGTCCATGCTGGTGCTGCGTTGCATTGCTGGCCTTCACCATCTTCAGCCGTAAAACCTTTTTTTTTAAGTTCAATATTTAGTTAAAAATCACATACAATGTTTATGTTCTCTTTGGAACTTTTATAGGTTGCTGAGATAAGCCGTGTTCTTAGACCTGGAGGAGTATTTGTTGCCACCACGTTCATTTATGATGGCCTTTTCCGTTTTGTCCCGTTCTTGAAAGATATTCGCCAGGTGTGTGTATATATGTTAGCCTTAAAAAATTATTTAGTTCCTGTTTTGCATTATTGGTTTGGTCTATGGCTAATTATGAATTCTGGTGATGACAATGATAGGAAGTAATGAGATACTCAGGTTCTCACATGTTTTTGTGTGAACGTGAGCTTGAAGATCTTTGCAAATCATGTGGACTTGTTGGTTTCACTTGTGTTAGAAACGGGCTATTTATAATGCTATCCGCCACAAAACCTAGCAAGATAATCGCACCCTCATATAAAGAGCTATAGTCCTTGACAATATTATATATACACAATATTTCTGCTGTTGAAAATTTGGTATAGAGTTATTAACATTGTAAAGAAAGAACGCACACATTGTAACCTATCTTGTAAAGCATTTTGCAAATCTTCTTACTTCACCAACTACAACATGTGGACCATAATCGTATAATTTGAATTTTTTTTTTAAGGTCCGAACATGGGCCTAATCTACCACTTGCTGGTGTTTCGAGACAAGTCTTATATTTTAAGTTCCAACGATTGAAAGACATTTCAAGAAGAAGCAACGGCCCGTGTTTGGTAAAGACTTGGGATTGGAGCTAAAAGATCCTTAAGTGAAGAAATATCCAAAACTAGTATTTTTCCCTTCTAAGCCAAGCATATATTGTAGTCCCAATGTGCCTTCGGATCATGTGCCCTTTCTCATACATTTATACAGTTTCCACACTAATCAATGAGTGGTATATTATTTTCTTGTTTATTTTTTGAGAATTCCAGAGCAAATATTACATCTTCCACCATCATTTAGAAAGTAGTAAAAGTAATGTCAATAAAAAACAGTTGATCAATAATTCAAATTTGACGATAGCTTCTTAGTTATGAATATTGTGACTCAATACTTTAGGTTTTAACTAGTCAATAAACACAACTTTAGTTATATATTTCACGTCGTTTTATATTTGCTTCTCCAACGCATGTATGCGTACGAACTAATATCCAAATAAAAAATTTGGAATATTTATAAGAAATGATCGTCTTTCCGCATTTTTAATCTTTAACCCAAAGGCAACGTTGTTATTTTATTCATTTCCTCCATGTATTCCGTTTACAAGGTCCACACGCCATAGATTCAATCATATTGTTTGCCATCTTTTACATTATTTGACCATGATTTGTTATTTACGGTGTCGGTACAGTTCCATGCATGATACGAAATAAACCATTGTTTTAATTGGTAAAATAAAACTACGTACAGACAGTTGTTTTTTTGGTAAAACGTACAGACAGTTATGTTACCTACTAGGCAATTTCCTTTAACCTGAAACTAAATTCAGCCGATAAAATAAATGATTAGCTTTTCACTGCCGGTTTTTCTTTTTGTTGCTGCATGTGTAAAACTTCTAAAACGGAAATTAAATTACTTGCCATGCATCTATTCTGTATATACTTATACACAGGGGCGAAGCTACGTTGACACTTCTGGGTGCAAGTGCACCCATAATGATTTAATAATTTTCATGTTACAGTGAACAACTATGATTAAGTTAGCTCAGTTGATAGTGAATGCACCCAATGAATCTTGAGGTAGGGAGTTCGATGCACCCATAATCAACTTTATTTACATATATAATATATTTTATTATCATTATGCACCCACTAATTTATTTCCCTGGCTTCGCCCCTGCTTATACATCAAACAAGTTTATCAGTTTTTTTTTATCATCCGTCACCTACATGTTTCCAGGCACATATGAATTATACAAGGAACATTATCACACAAGCATGACGCCTTCAAGTATTTTATAATTGTATTAAATATGTATACGCTATATATATCTCACCGCAATCATCAAATCACCTATTTTCTTTTGTTTCATCATGCCTCTAGTAGAAACTATGATAAGTAAAATCGGAATAAGAAATCCTAGATGTATTTCTCATCAAATCTGTAATGATATCATGGGGTTGCATTATAAAAAGATGTATGCACTTTGAGTACAGTAGAGGTTTATCAAACGACTTTCCTTACTCTATATATATTTATTTATTTTTGTTTTAATCAGTACTTTTTATGTTTTTTCTTTTGGGTATATGTTACCTATCGACCTTTTTCGTCTTTAGTGCAAACTACAAATAATGTGACTCAGTCTACAATATACTTGAGTGAGGAAAAAAAACTACGACATGCTTGAATACAACCAAGGGCCATACCGAATTTTTAATTAATTCAAAATTTAGACTAGTCGTAAGGTCCACATACCGCCACATAGTGATGAAATAGTATATGTGTTCTTAAAGGAAAGATATCGTGAAAATATAATATGATTATTTTGGTTTTATAATTATCAATCGTCAGTTTTTGACTACTTTTTTAGTATTTACGTTGAAATGTTTTGTAAAAGAAAGAGAATCTATTTACGTTGCTTGTTTTGGATTTATTATAACTTTGTTCATAGCTTTATCCTTCTTCGTTTTTTTTAGAAGTAGCTTTCTCCTTATGTGGCACGAGTTTTCTCAGTTGTCGGCAGGCAAAAGCACATTCATTCCATGCATTGTTTCTTTTAAGAAAAAAAACAAGGCTAATTCATATATAGAGAATTTTCTAAAAGAACAGATTAAACAAAAATACACTATACACACTAATTTGCTGACATTATTTCTTTATCTGAAAAAATCGAGTAAGATTTAAAAATATGATCCAGATTATAGTCATAAGTACACAGACGAAGTCTCCATTTTTTTCTCTAGCTTCTCTTAGTTATGAAATGTTTCAATTCTATAAAAAAAAGTTTGAGCCATATGTGTTGGTGGGAGAATAAGAATGAAGAAAGAGTGGTCAAAGCCAAATCAAACATACAACAAACAAGAAAGCTGCCGTATGAGACAGAAGGTCCCCGACAAAGCCGGCACCGACTCACACGTACGTACAAAACGACAATGTATACTATACTCTAATCTTCCACACGAACACAATAAATATGTTTAAATGTGTATATATATCAAAAATGAATTAGCCCTCCTAAATTATATTATTTATTTTTAAGTCCTTGTTACAAAAGAAGCTCACATTTATAATATTTAATTATTTAAGCGGATTTTCAGCGAATTTCATTCACCAATCACCCTTGAGTGGATTTGGTTGTTATTAGAACAAACAAAAACTTAGGTTAAAAATAATAATATGAAGAAAAAAGCAAACAGTTTGTTGGTTGTTATCGAATAATTATTGTGGATAATATTAGTCACCCATTATATTATTGCGAAAGCTTTGGCGTTTAAGAGGATAAACTTAATTATTCCACTAATTACTTTTATAAAGCACTATTAAACATTGACCCTTTGGTTCTTTACTTTTTCGTTATTTTGTTAGTGTATTACAGCCTAATATCATCACCATAAGTTAGAGAGAAATGATAATATATAGATTCGGCTTCAAAATAAATTTTTTTTTTTTGGGCGACTAAATTTTTTATATCTAATACAGTTATAAGTAAAAAAGGTAAGAAACAATAAGAATGAAGACAGAACTTTAGAAAACTGGAACAGAACAATAGAAAACTATAAATCCAAATATTTTTTGTACACGATGAATGTGAGATAGGTTAGCATAAATTGAAACAAATAAAAACACAAAACTAACATAATTGTCTACTTTAGAATAAAACACATGTTATTGTGCACTTACCCATTTGTCCAAATAAAGTTTTGAGTCTTATGCTAGGGTAAACAATCTATTTACCCACGAGAACTATCATATAGCATCAGATCCCCACCGGACTATGACCTCATGCTAGATTCCCATAAATTGAAAATTGTAAACTTATTTCTCCCCGAATCAATACTTCAAAACCTAGTTACCCACAAACAATGGTTTTAATTGGTTTTAGTTGGTTTATTATTAACCAAACATCTTAAAATCAAGTAAACCAAATCAAAATCCAATTAAATCCCCACCTGAATCACCATAAACATTTTTATGTAAACATTTTAATGGATTTATTTTACAACAGAAGAAGATTTTGTTTTATTTAATTGGATTTTGGTTTGGTTTACTTGATTTTAAGATGTTTGGTTAAGAATAAACCAATTAAAACCATCGTCTGTGGGTAATTAAGTTTTGAAGTATTGATTCGGAGAGAAATAGGTTTGCAATTTTTAATTCGGGGAGAAATAGGTTTGCAATTTTCAATTCGTGGAGATCTAGCATGAGGTCATAGTTCTGTGGGGATCTGATGCTATATGATAGTTCTCATGGGTAAATAGATCGTCTACCCCTTATGCTATATGGTAATTGTCTATACTCAAGCGTTTCATTTTCATTGTATTAATCATTAGCGTCCACAAATAATGATAACAAAAGCTATTTTAATCTTTTACAGGCTCCAAATATATTTGAACAATCTGTTGCATTTTTCGTCTTTATCTATTAAGACAATAAACAATCAACAATGGGGTCAGTCCAAATACAGTGTTCCTATCATTATTTCCATAACGAATGTCTTAAAGAATCGACCCCATAAAATCAAATTAAAATCTAATTTTTGGATTTTAGAAAAACAAAGCAAGATTTTTGTGTTAGAGCAAAAGGCAGACAAAAAATAAAGTTGGTTTCTTGTAAAGAACTCAATAGTAACTCTCGTGTTAGACTTATATAAATACATTTAACAGCTTTCATCTTCAACTTACTCCTCTGTTTCATCAAACTCTCTTCAAAGTTCCTTACCTTCTTCAAAAATTTCAATTCTTTTTCTTAAAATGGCTAAAGCTAAGAAGATCTCCACGGATCAGAGGTTGGGAGGTTGTGAGAGTCTACTTGGCTGTATTTTCCAGAGCTGGAGCCCTCGTCGACGGAAACCCTCTTTACCAGAGAAAGATCACAAGGCAAAAGATTACTTGCCTCCCAAGTCAACCACCATTACAAACCCTAAAATCATTTCAAGAAAATCAACCGATTCTTTTGCTCAGACAAAGAAACCAGACCCTCTGAAGACCAAACCTGACGAAAGTAACGCAAGAAAATCATCATCAGATTCAGCAAGAAAATCATCATCAGATTCAACAAGAAAATCATCATCAGATTCAGCAAGAAAATCATCAGAATCCGCCAGAAAATCAATTTCCTCAGCTTCACCAAGAACAGAGAGCAAGAGGTTTTCACCTAACGGCGTGATGGGAAACATCATCGTGAAACCACAGCCCGCCGTTAAATCTCCTGACGTGTCACAGACAAGAAGTCGGTGGGAGGGCAAAGCTGTAAATTACAGACATGACCCGGAGACTCTGAAGACAATGGGAAACGAAGAGTATTGTCGTGGAAGGTTTGGAGAAGCTCTTGTGTTTTACGAGAGAGCTATCTTAGCTGACCCTAAAACGCCGACGTATTGGTCTAACAAATCTGCAGCTTTGATCAGTCTTGGTCGTCTTTTAGAAGCTTCTGATGCATGTGAAGAAGCTTTAAGACTAAACCCTAATTACGAGAGAGCTCATCAGAGACTTGCTTCCCTCCAACTCAGGTAGAGTCTCTTCTCTACTCTGTTCTCTTTACTTTATTACTTTCTTGGTCCCTGTATTTATGATTTTTAACTTGTTATACCCTAATTTTTTTTTTGAACTAGATTGGGTGAGGTTGAAAAGGCTTTGTGTCACTATAACCAAGCTGGGAAGTACACAGAGACAAAACATATAGAACAAGTTGAAGATGTTATAAAATGCTTAAAGAGGTGCGAGGAAGCTCGGAGATCAAAGGAATGGAATGTTGTGTTGAAGGAGACTTGTTTTGTGATATCATATGGAGCAGATTCTTCTCCTCGGGTTAGCTTTCTTTCTTGTTTCATATCATATCAAATGTTATATGTAATAACAATGAGACAAAAACTGTACTCAGCCTAATTTAACCCATAATTCAAAAACCTCAAGGTCTATGCACTTCAAACTGAGGCATTATTGCATCTTCAGCGACAAGAAGAAGCGTATGATGTGTACCAGAAAGGAACAAAACGGTTTGATATCGATTGTTTCATAAAGATATTTGGTCTTTCCATTACTTCTTACATCTTAATGGTCGGAGCTCAGGTCTACATTGCAGCAGGAAGGTCAGTAGTACTAACACACCAGAGGCTGATTCATTTTAATATTTTGCTCAAATTTAAATTAGATCGGTTAAGTGTTACAAATATTGATAAAATAATAAAATTTAAAAATTTGTATTTATATGTATGAGTTCATTTAGCAAAAAAAAAATGTATGAGTTCATGAATATCATAAATAATGATTAGTATCTATTTTTCTATTTTTTAATAAGTGGTGGTTTATAGAAAAGAATGAATTCAAACTATATTATACTTTTTGACCCAAAAACTATATCATATTGTAGTTTGATAAATAATAATTTAATTATATATTATTTTAACATCAGCATTTTGAAAATTAGTTTATTATGGTTAAATTATGTCGTATAATGATTTTATAATAAAATTTCTAGTACTCCTATTTGAGAATATGTTTTATATATTAATAACTTTATAAGTAATAAAATATTATACAATTTCAATATTATTAAATTAAAGTTCTTACTACACCTAAAAAAAATCAAGGACCAGCATAGTGCATAACAAGTTAACAACGCACTGTTTAAATATATATACAGTTACAAAATGCTTGTTGCAAACAAAGTCCACGTTTCTTTACTTATAAAACGTGAGGACTTGTGTTGTTTTCTTTTATGGACAGATTTGAAGATGCAGTAACAGCGTCAAGGCAAGCGTCAAGACTAGATCCAAGTAACGAAGAAGTAAACGCAGTGGCTAGAAAAGCGAGAGCGGTTGCTGCGGCGAGACTCACCGGGAATTTACTCTTCAACGCGTCCAAATTTGAAGCGGCTTGCGTGGTTTACACGGAAGGACTTGAACAAGTCCCCTACAATGCCCTCTTGCTCTGTAACAGAGCAGCTTCAAGATTCAAGCTTGGTCTGTTCGAGAAAGCCATTGAAGATAGCACACTGGCTCTCAGTCTTCAGCCATCGTACAAGAAGGCGAGGCGCCGCAGGGCGGATTCTTATGCGAAGGTATTCAAAAGTTCATATTTAATATCTCTTTGTTTCAATATAATTTATGTTTTAGAAAAAATAATTTTGTTTCAAAAAATACATATTTCACATTTTCAATGCATTATTTAATGTTGAATTGCAAACTTCAAAATATTTATTAAATCCTATTGATTAAAATTTATGGAAAACAGTACATTACAAAATAATACTTTGATAATTTAAAATTTATAAATTTTTTTAATGTGTGAAAAATACTAAAACATGTATCTTGAGGAACATGTATAAACGGTGTGTTGGACTAGTGGTTTAACACAAGGAGTTAGTTCCATTCTTGGTTAATAAAAAAATCTTGGACTGAATTTTCATAACAATATGGTTAATTGATATATTTCAAAATTATTGTGAGTGTGATTGATGTTTATTTGGTTTACTTTTAGTTGGAGAAATGGCAACACGCGATTCAAGATTATGAATTGTTGATGATGGAGACACCTGAGGACGAGGAGACTAGAAGAGTCTTGGCTGATGCAAATGTCCGGTTTAGAAAACAGATCGGTGGAGATGTCCGGTTTAAAGAAATCGACTCGGATTTAGTAGTTTTGAACTGAGATGGGAGATTTGGGTTTGAGTAAGTTTCAATTGTATAGTTTAAAGAGATTTTGAAAACGGTTTGGTTGTGTCTGCTTGTTTGGTTGCCTTGTTTTGCTAAATTAGGTCACACTTTTATCTGATCATTTTCTTATTTTAAGTTCTTTTTTCTGTGTGTATGTTTGTTTACCATAAAAGTTTTGTATTAAACGAATATACTAAAGCCTCATCACATAAGGGGATCACTTTCTTTTTACATACTCAACATTACAATTTTGATATTTGAAGCTTGGGGTTAGGCCATCTGCATCAGCGAACTGCAGGGGTGGGTTCATAAATAATATTTTTGATTATTTTATTTTTCTGTTTTCTGCTTTATTCTAAAAAAAAAAAATTAAGAAACGAACCAATCACGGGCCGCCACGTGTTGTGGGGCCCGTGAAACAGTCACGATACGGATTCACGTGGGAGACTCTCTGCGAACCGAATTCATCACTTGCAATTATTATATTCTTTTCTTTTTCTTGGGGATTGTGTGAACCTCTCCTAAAAACTTCTAATGGGCATACCCTTATAGACTAGAAACAACATATCTTATGTCAATGATCTTGCCTCGAGGGCTTATGGACTCGGTTGAATAGGACGTAACTGGATAACCTATGTGTGATAGCTAGAGGTTTTAAAACCAGCCATGTAAAGTGAACGGAATTAGACAAATCAAATAAAATTCACTGGCGTGCCGTATGAGTTATTCTTATTGTGAATACTACTTTGTCTATAGACATTTGACAATGATCATTTATAGGTTTGTTTCTTGTTTTCGAGGAAACTCTCACATAGTTGGCTAGTGTCTTATTCAGCTAATGTTACTATCAAGAAGAAGACTAACTCGTGTGTTATTTGATAGCTATGTCCAACGTATATGTGACGTTCAATCTGTGTTACTATATTAAACAAGCATAAAAATGGAGTTATTTTCCACTTTGAGAGGACGTTTCATATTAAAATGTTTGTTTTCATCAGAATTTCATCATATGATTAACCTATAAAATGGTCCATTCTTCAAACTCTTCATGAATGGTTTACAAATACACACATAAACATATATGTTCAAACTTGAAACACATTAAAATTTTGATCTATTGAGCATATTTGTGTAAAATAAAAGACCATGTACATATTAACGTTACGTTACAAACGTCGTGATGAAACACACGGAAACAAAGTAAAAACAAACCTAGACACTAAAAAAACCATAAAAAAGAAGTAAAAACAAGTACCAAATTAATAAACAGGTAATCAAAATAATAGTATGAAAAAAAATCGTAATCATATGTTTAAAATACGAATGATTAATAGTAAGAAAGATTTAGCTTCTTAAGCTTCGACTCCGAGACAGAGGATCTTGAATTCCTCCGACAACCCAAGTCTCCTTAGCAATGTCCGAAGAGAGTTTGTAATAATCAGTATCGTATCTCATCAACACTAACTCCATCTTCTCTTCCTCCATTAATGATCTCAAATCCTTTTTATTCTTCTTCACCACACTCACCTCTTGATCCTCTGCTTCTTTATTATCTTGCTCTGTCTTCACTTGCATTCTCTCTTCTAACCAACTCTTCGCTGGAGCCGATCTACACCTCATCAACAAAAGCGCGTTTGGCGGCGGAACCGCCGGTTCCACGTCTGAGTTTTCATCAACCACGCACTTGTTGTTGTTCTTGTCTTCGTCTTGTAAAACCATAAACCATTTGGAGAAAACATTCTTTGAATCCTCTTCTTCTTGTTCTTGTTCTTGATCTTCATCATCTTCCTCTTCTTCTTCCTCATCGTCGCTAGTGATAACATCAGCATGTCTGAACTCACCAAAACATCTGAAGTCGAACTTGATGTTCCTTAAACAAGTCAAGAAACCCATCACATCTTTCTTCAAACCAAGAAACTTGCTCTGAGACTTGTTGCTATGTATCCTCTCTATCTCCTCCATCACTGACCACCAGTTCTTTCCTTTCCCGCCGCATTTTCTCGGCCGGACTTTGATCTGACCGGCGCATGTGACTTTAGGTGAAGTAGGTTCGGCTATTTCGTCATTACCCATGTTCTTGCGGCTTGCTTGTTTAGCCCACAAAGCAGGACTCCCATGTCCTCCTCCGGTGGTGTTTGAGAGTTTGCTGAGCTGGCGGCGGTGGTGGGGACGACGGTTGGTGGAGATGGAAGGACGAGAAGGGCTGCAAATGGGTTTGGGAGTAAGTGCTAAGTGGGTTCTTGTAGGGAAACAAACCAACAAATCTGCAGAGTAACCAGAAGAAGAAGATACTCTGTTTCCATCTCTTCCTTTGATCATTGTCTTTTTATTTTTATTCTCTGTTTTGTTTTTGTTTTTGTTTTCTTGGTGTTTGGTTTTTGGATCGATCTCTCAATGGAAGTGTTTCAGCTTTTTATGTTTGGTTTTATAAAAAAACTTATTTTCTTTTTAGGCTTTGAAATTCTTGTGACAGCTTTTACGTGCTTTTTGCTTTTGTGTGTGAAAAAAAAACTTTCTTTTTTGTTGAAACTCTTTCTCAACAAAAAGTGAAAAGTGAAAAAAAATCGGTGGTGCAATACCAACTGTTTTTGTTGTTTTGGTGGATAAATATGAAGAATAAGAAGATGTGTTGGGGTCAAAGGAGTGAAATTGATTTCATCACAACTTTATTTAAGCGTAAACATGAAGCTTCTTGACTGAATCATTCACTTTCAGCAATTCAGTGGTTGTTACCACTTCTTCTTATTCATACATATTTGTTAATCATTTCACTTTGAGATTTATCCCAATATCAAACTGATGGGTTTGTATTTATATAGTGAACAAATGTGACATCAATATTTGGTCATTATAAAACTCATGTACCAGTCTAAACTTTACCTCTATAAGTTTGATTACAAAAAGAATGCATTGGTCATAGTTCCTATGTTTAATCGATAAATCAATACGCAATCAAATTCTAAAGGTTTTTGTTCTAGTCCGGTTTTATATCAACATTGTACTATGTGTATACAAAGTACATTCATAGATGAACATGGTTTATTTCACAACCAAAAAAAAGAAAGAATAACATGTGAATGTGACAAGGGTGATGATGGGTTATAGTCGACTGCTCCAATAGATTAAAGTTGGAAAGGTTTCGTGGGCTTTACTTTTGCAATTTCAATATATGATCATAATGTTATTATATATATGAATAAGAAAAAGAAAGGCAATGGTATAAAGAGAAAATAAAGGAAAAGATTGTTAGGCACGAGGCTTGCTTCTTAATCCAATGGTACTCACAAGCTGTGTGGTCACATTTCTTTTTGTTGCTGTTATCTTCAACCACACACTCATCAATTTTCGTTTGCCATCTCTTAATTTAAACTACCTTCCAACTAAATCACCAAACTATACCACCAAATGATAATGAAATTCAGAGGTGCAAACTCTTTTTAGGGATGTGAATGATGTGATGAAGAATTGGAAAAGTGTAGGATAAAGGTATTGCGACATGCAGGCTGGCGACATGGAACATGAATTATTTCATATAAGTGTTTCACAATTGGAAAATATTTGGAAAAGTGGAAAAAAAATTGTGGTTCTCTTCAAAGAGTTTTGTTTCTCTAATATTCTGCAATTTGATGGTTCAAATTAACACAATAGTTTGATTTAGTGTCATGCTTCTCACACAACATATTCCTTCTTTGATATAATTTAAAGAAGTGCAGCTCTGGTTCCAGCTCTAATTATGGGTTCCACCATTTTTCATGAAGCTCTTGCTCTAAATCATCATTTCCTAGCCCAACTAAAACACGTATAGCATGGATATTTTGGACTTTTGGTAGGAGAACTATTGGGTGAAGCTTGATGAAACGTTGCGAGTTTTTGTAGATCATTAGATCAATTATGCACATTTTTAGAACAGAATAATAATAATACACTTTTGTCTTACTAGTAATTATGAAACTCGAGTGTTCTCACTATAATTTACTTGAAATGTGTAAATAGGCATGCTGGTTCCCCACTTTTACTTTACTTCACTTATATTTACCAATGATGCGCTAATTGTGGACATCCTATTAAAGTAGTGCAGTATATATTTGTTGGAATGATAACTAATTATGCACTTAGACCAACAATCACTATCATGCCCCAACAATCAAATATATTGAAGGATGAAATGAAAAGTTAGGTATGTGTTATTATGATAAGTTGCATCAACATAGAGGTAGGCCATTAGCACTAATTTAACATTTAAGTAGCAATTCCTTCATACATAAATTGTATAAAGGAACATATCGTCTTTGAAATAATATCCAATAAAATAAACTTATGTAAAGATAAAGATAGTGTTTGATTTAGTTGTACACTTGAGAACGACAATATTGAGAAAGCATGTGGGTAGGCCTTTGGAACTAACAGCCCCATTCAATAAAAGTTAGGCATCTCACATCTTACACCCTTTTCAAAGAACTTAAGTCTATTAATTTTCTTTTCAAATCACAATCAAATATATTTTAGTAATTGATAAATTGTATAAGTATGTCGTAAACGTAAGCTTAATTGCGACAAATTCCATGTCAAATGTGACAAAAGGAAGCCTGGTAGATGTGAAAAGTGCATTGCTTAACACTTTTAACTTGCAATCAAACTTTTGGAATGAAGCATCATTCATACCTATAGTCTATGGTTGATTCACTCTCTAATCAAACTTGTACATGTGACATATATTATGTTTTGTTAGTCTGTGTTTAACTTATATAAGGTAAGAGACTATAGGACCACCATTTGTTTATGGTTTAATAATTATATCGGTGACCTAATCAAATAACAATCTGTCTGATGATGATGCCACCCAATTGCTACAAAATTTGATTAGTATATTAAACTATGTATTCGCTATGATATCTATTCACGTCCTTATATATGCTTTATTGTTCACGAAAGCTCGACAAGGATATTGAAAAGCCAAACTACAGCTCATCTGCATCGGTCTGATTATTAGGTTACTTGCTTTTCTCTTGGAGCGATTTTAACGGGCCTCAATGGACTTAAACCCCAGATCCAACAGACTCCAACCTGGACTATCATTGCAATTTGCTTAATTATTAATTGCTTTCTTTAATTCCATATAATACCCACACCACTCATTAACCTCGTGATTCTTTAGACAAAAAGGGAATCTTACACAATTAAACTATAACTATTTGTCTGTACTATACTGTCACGACGCATTAAATGTGATAATAATCATATTCTATTAATGTAATAATTCGAGTTTGACCAAACTCGTACGCCATCAAGTACAGATGGGATTGTACGGTGTTGTCGGTATACACTATACATTAAAAAGGCCAAACAAATAAAAAGCCCATTGGGCCTCTAGAAGGAATTCATCTCTAACACATTTCTCCTACGTTTCAGCAACGCCGTAACGGCTTCTCCGTACATACAATCGGCGGCGAACGCCTCCGTCGCCAGCTCAACATCGTTGTCATCGGAAGCCACACCGCTCGGCCTCACGACGACGAGCGTCGCGGCCTCGAGACAGATCCCGCTCTTCAGCTTAAGCATCGGCGCGTGTCTCATACTCATCCTCACGTTAGGCACCTCCGTGCGTTCCCTCACGCGCTCTAATCCCAATCCCTTTTCGTCCACGCGCGCCTCCGTCTCTCTGTACTCTCTCATCCCCGCGGCGTCCATCACCACCGTACCTTCGTCGTCTCTGTCACGCACGGTTAACCGCTCCATCTCCTTGTGCTCCTTCACCAGATCTCTCATCAGGTGGTGGCGCGTGGAGGCCGCCATCAACGCGTTGATCGTCCACACCACGCGCGTCTTCAAACCGCAGACGAACTCCGAATCCGTCTCCACGGCGTCGATCGGAGACTCCGTCGCCGACGCGTTGACCGTCGCGGAGCGGAACGCGACGATGACGGAGCTCTTGAGAGTCTCTCCGAACTCCGCCTTCCACTTAACCGCAGCGCCTTTCTCGAGATTCGCGTCTCCGCCGTATAACTCCACGTCGAGATTCCGGATCCGGTTAAATCCGGCGAGAATCTGAGCCGGAGTCTTCGGAGTTTCGACCGGTTTAGCGGATCTGGAGAAGATCGGGAGGATAGATTTGAAGATCGAACGGAAGAAGCTAGCCACCGGAGAGCTGATCTCCGGCTCCGATTCGGTGGCGCCGAGGATCTGATCGAGTTGGAGAAGGAGCGAGTCGGACTGAGTTGCTAACGAGTTGAATCGTTTAGAGACGGAACGACATCGTATCAGCGTTTTGACGTCAGCGACTTTGTTCAAAATGTCGATGACCACATGATTAGGAATCGCATCAAAAGCGTCCATGATTTTTATCTTTTTAAAACCTTCGGGATGAACTAGAGAGTCTTCTAACTTTCTTTCTCTCTGTGTTCTCTTCTGCTTCTGGAGTATGAGAGATTCTTGCCTTAAATAAGGAGAAACACATAAGGGCGATATGATATGATATTTTTTAATTACCGGCATGTGGGACCATTATTGTTGCCGTCGGTATATGATATTTAATTAATAAAGAACAATGAGTACAGCTTTTCTGAATTTGATTGGTGGATTGATATTAAATTAGGAGACATCAACGATTGAGATGCTCTCTATCCGGCGACATGGTCCTTGATCGACGGTTGAAAGCTACTTTAAACATTTTATTAAATTCCGGTCCATACTGGGGGAAATAATTGATTAAAAGTTAATTTGGTTGGATCCATACATTTAATTCATTTTTTTTCTTAAAGAAATCAGTGATCATATGCACATGAATAATCATTCAGTTGATAACTTGATACTTTTACTTTCTATTTAATATTGTTATTCATTTTTATCTTTTCTAAATTGTTATTTTCAAAAATATATAATACTTTCTCTGTTACAAAGTGTCACTATAGATAATATTTTTCTTTAAAATAAATGTCGTTTTCAGCTTTCAATGCAAAATTTATTAATTTTATTATGCAATTTGTTTTTCTATTTATTGAAATATAGTTAGGTGTATAGGTAATTGTGTTTTTATATAGAAAATATTCAAAATTAATTGTTTCTTTAATTTGTGTACACAAACTTAAAATGACTTTATAATGAAGAGAGAGAGTATGAAATTTTATTAAGGTGAGAAAAAATATTTATACATTTTCATTGTAAATATAAATAATCATCTAAATAAATAAAAAATGAAAAATTGTTAGTTTCCGAATTGCAACTTTTCAAATTCAAACTTTATAAAAAATATTTATAATTTTTTATAATTTGTTTTTTCAATTTTTTCTTTTAAAATTCTTTTTTTATAATATTTATTTTTGTAGTATTTGTTTATATACTTATTAAATTATAAATCCCAGCCTCCAAAATTTCATCCCTCACATCCACTAAATCTATATTAGTTAATCATATGGTTATAAGTGTTTATTTATCTTTTTGAAACGAAGAATAAATAGGGTTATTATAAACACGAAAATGAGTATTAGGAAAATTGTATATAGCTTTAACAATTTCTCTTATATTTTTACAATATTCCCCCGCCATATATTGTTTCTTTTATTGTTTATCGTCAATTAACAATATTCTACTATGTTATACATTTCTCATTTTCTTAGGTTACTATCAACAGTAGATATTATCATGGTTAAAATATTCTGGGTGTTGTCATAGTGTCTTCATCATACTTTTGGCTATTTTTTTTTGTTAATACTGAAAATATCTTCACCATATTTTATAAAACTCAAATGGTGACAATGTTAATACATAAAATATAACGATTAACCATTAGGTTAAGACACGTATATGTCCTGGTTGATTTATCGCTAATGTATTTGAAAAGAACAAAAAAGTGTTTTATTAAATGTAAATTTATATTGTTAAATAAATAAACGATTCAAAACTCAAAGTCTATATTCTGATACACTGAGTATTATAGTGAGAAATTTCACCATTCAAGAGACTCCAAATCATTGAAGAGACCGGATTAGTTTGATTCCGATTTGGTCCAAAACAAAAAGGTGCCATAAAACCTATTTTTGACTATTTCAACAACCAAAACATTTTTTTCATTTATTATTAAAACAAAATTCTCAAAATTGTATTTATAGATATAAACATTAAGAATATGTTAAGAAAATCCAAATATAAGCGCTGGATATAACCAGATGTTTATATGTATGTGCGTCTAATTAAGTACTAACGTTTATGTTTAGTATCGGTATAAGATCATAAACAATAATAATATTTACAAACCCGTGCGCACAAGGATTACCATCGTTCGCACACTCCTATTGCGTTTGTACGGAAAGGTCAGCTGCACCCGTGTTCATCAGGATCTCTCTCCTTTAGCATTGATGAACCATCTCTAGACGAGGGAACACCAGAAAAAAATATGTTGTGTTGATTTTTTTGTATCTGTCTTTTTGAAGATTCAAAGCTTCTACCAAGTTTCTTTTTAATATATTTTTAGATGCAACAAATCTGTTATGTAAATCTAAATTATTTATTATCAACAACATGTATCATACATGATGTATGTACACGGATTGATGAACTTCAACTATGACACGTTCCTAATATTATCACAAACCACTAGACAGTAGTCTAGGCGTCTAGATTATATGGTGTAGACATATAATATACTAATTTTATTTTCAAATATAAATTATAAAATTGTTTTATGATTGCTTTAATCAGTTGGCTTTAATTTGCAAAAGCTCGAGTGGGCGATTAAGTTGGACAGGTTGTATAAATGCACCTTTTTGTCTTCTGAATTAATTCATGAATATGGGAGTTGTTGTGGCGTATCTTGTCACACGTTCTTCTAAGGAGATCCATACATCATGCATTATCTAGTGGCTGAGTAGAAATGTCTTACTCATGAGTTATGAGTCACGACAATAGTTTAGAACAGTGTTAAATCAATTAGGCTCGTAGCCTTGAAAATAATACTAGTTGTCTAGATTGTGGACCGAAGCACACTCTGCATACGTTAAAAGCCAACCCTGGGTGTTACCGTATTGAAAATCCAAGATCAACACACGGAAATCGTTGATTAATTGTTTCTTGATGATATTGTCTTCCCTTAACAACTGAATATATTTATATTTTGTCTATGAAATGGTCAAAACTATTTTTGTTATATATTTTTTTTTTTAACAGGTGAGAATCAAATGGCACGGAAAGAAATGACACTTCCAAAATTTACGCGATTGCCAAAAACACATCTTTCTGGGATAAGTGAACAAGAGGTAGGGTTCAACTTCCAACATTTATCTTTTGTCTCCTTTTCTCCTATTTTGTCTTTGTTGATTTATTGTCACAAACAACTTGACACTATCTTCCAAATAATTTACGTAAATTAATAGTGTCTGCCTTAATAAATGATTTGTTAACAAATGCTCTACGACAACCATGAGTGAGTGAACCTGTATAATTTAAAATTAGAGATTCTTCCAACTAGAGAATACCCCATCGAATGTTATACCAAATGGCTTGTTCAAACCATCTTTAACAAGATTGGTAAGGCAATGGTATATCCAACCATTTATTTTACAAGATTGGTAAGCCAATGGTATATCCGTATATGCTATGTACTATGAAAATCACGAAATTGTCTAACGCTACAATTTTTATATAATTAGTATATGCCTATATCAATAATTTATAGGAAGTGGATAGCCATTATTCTAACTTAAATCTTGGGGGACAAGTGGACAACTCAGCCGTGACAATGACTAAACAATAGTTTTAAAAAGATCTTAATCATTTGCTTATTGTATATCATTATTGGCTATTTTATTCATTTTATCAGAATTGCACAGCTAAGCTATTAATTTTAAATGAAATATGAGACATTTTATATATTAACGCCAGGTCGCCAGTTGGAATAGTGGTTTAGGTGTACCTTTAAATACAATTAAAAAATGTATACATTTAGGCTTTGGAGTTGGGTAGAGTATAGAAAGGGGTTTGGATTTTGCGATGAGTATTTATTACCTGTAAGAACATTGTTATACATTTTCTCCAATTTTTTTTTTTATATACATACATATGTATGTTGGGAGTTTAGGATTTGGTGGTAACCAATAAGAAAACAAGAATATGCTGTAAATTCGTGTTATCTCTGTAACATTATAATCCTCCCTGCTTATAGTAATATGATAGCCTATCCCCATGATTCTATATATGATCCTATCAAGAGAAACCATAAGTTTTTATCAACATTTTTGGAAACCTACCAGCTTTAATTGATTAGTGGCACCAGATCTATCCTCAGTATTGATTAGTACACCATTCATTGCTTATTTGCTTTGTTTCAATTGTAAATATCATACTTATATTTAAACCTTTAAAACACGCTTACAGTACTACTTATTAGCTCAAGCCTAACATGCTAGAGTTATTTCCTTTTTGTAAATGAAAATCACCAAAAAAGGTCGTAAAATATACGTACAGAAGTTTTCTACGTGTGTTTCAGACACATAAAATTTCAAAGTTATATGTCTGCACAATTCTAACTCGCTGCAAAAAATAAAAAAAAACTTACAAAAGTTTGCTTAAACCACACACACAAAATAAAACTAGAACCTATCCGTTTCTTCGAATTCTCTTTTGGGCTACACGCATTTTGAACTACATGGCCCATTGTATCAAACAGCACGGCCGAATTAAATTATATATTACTCTAGTCTCTAGTGCTGTTCAAAAGGCCGATTTGTATACCAATGTTGATTACTTGGTTGGCTCATTGAATTTTGCACAAGGTCCGGTAATTAAACTATTTTCGGAAGATGTGTAAAAAATTTTATTTATTTTTTGGCTTGTAAGACGTATCAAAGAAATTTTACTTTTTAAAATAAAAAAATGCATAAAATAAAGTTTGCAGTGGAAGTTTTCTCAGTTCACTGATGGACCAAAGAGTTCTACACTGAAGGTTTGCGATTCAGTTTTCAGAAAATAAGATTTCTACAAATTAATCGAGACAAAGTTATAAGAATCTCTAACATGATATAAGTAAAGATATTTGTCAAGTTTTGTGTAGATAATTTTTTTTATGATTCTTCTTACGAAAATTGTAATAAGAAGAATTATATCAAGTTTTGCTAACTTCTTTTGTATTTTTATTATTTTCCTTGGTGGTCACACTCAGCTTCCAGTGATACTCATTATATGTATTCGTTACTCCAGTTATCTGTTTATAAATAGAATAGTTAGTTGGAATCTAAGAACGTATCTTAAGTGCTAGTATAACAATAACCACTAGAACAATTTATAAGATATATAGTTGGAATCTAAAAACGTATCTTAAGTGCTAGTATAACAATAACCACTAGAACAATTTTTAAGCAACTAACCCTATAACCCTAGCTTTAGCTTCTACAAATATATAGTTTTATCCTTTCTCCAATATCTTATAATGCAAGAAGATTATAAAAATAGTGCAGAAGTCCATCTACCCAAAGTTTAATTTATTTCCCTACGTTTTAAAACCTGAAAGCTGATAATTATTGGAACGAAACTAAATCTGCTTCCCAGACGAAGATCACTTAATACATGGTCTGGAATAATAATCATCCAATTAAAATTATACTTATTTTTTAAAACTTCAATATAATGTGGTACACACATTTCCTTTAATCTAAGGCCATCCTCAAAGCCTACAACATGGGAGAAGTTATCAGAGAAAAGAGGAGGGGACCATTAGAGTGACACGTATATGCTTAGCAACATGAATTATTGCATCACTTAACGTAATTAACTAATGATGAGAATCTAATTAATGGTCCCCGTTACCTTTTTAAGATGCGTGTTAGCTTTAATTGGTCCCTATAACTTTCACATGATGGGGTTTAAGCTTTAGTTAGGGAATATATATATATATATATATATATATATATATATATATGTGCATACATAGATTATGAAATTGATATTTACACATTAAGCATATTCATGTATACTTTTAATTAACAATTACTAAATGGATGGTGTTAGTTAAGGGATACTGTACACAAAACAACGAACCTGCTTGTTAATTGGCAGTGCTCGAAGAAGTAGGACATAGGAATCATTCAAAATCAGTATAGGCATCAAGAAAGACTAATAACGTCTTACAAGTACCCCCCAAAAATAACAAGACAAGACACAAATGTTCTGTTATATATTTAATATTTTACATATTATAGTATAATTTATAATTTAGATCGTCTCAGCCATTGCTGGGAATATATACATACATAGGATTTGGAGATTTTAATTGGTCTCAACCAAATGAAATATCATACTAGTTGTTGATCTGGGACAGTACAGACCTAAAGAATAACACATGAACCCCATTGTTCATGTGCATAGTTTAGTGACTCAGTGATAGTGTGTGTCACATAGAAAAACAAACTATGTATTGCCCTCTTTTTCTTTTCGTATGTATTTCCTTAATCATGTTTCTTTTGTGAATATCCAAATCATATATATTCATGAATATATTAAGTATTTCACATTTCTCCTTCTTATTTTTTTGGGTGCAATCTCTCCTTCTTATTGTTAATACTATGTATCTAATTTGCTATATCTAGCTTCCCGTCGTTATCCGGATGAATAGATCTTTGACGAAAAGTTTCGTAAACCACGTCATCAAAGGATTCTTGCGCTGAAACCAAGAAGTTGTCAATACAAAATATTGTTTGTTTCATACAAAATGTATTGTACTTGTTTATTAGGTACAGTTAGGTGAGTATAAATTTGGGAAGATTTGATATACCTGGGTCTGGTCCTATATATTTTTGGTGACTTACAAACCACACACATAAATTGGCAGTCATATTTTTTGAAAAATAATAGCAGAAGCCACCATACAGTTAAACGGAGAGTTGATCCCAATAATTGGAGGAAATCGTACTTAGTTTTTTACTTTCTTTCTTTTCAAGTCGGATCACCAATGATGGGGTTTCTTCTTTAAATAATATCTCAATAGTTATATTAATATGGTAAATATAACGGGTTTAGCTTCTTTACACGTATCGAGTCATGCCTTCTCGTGGAATGGAAGCATGTTGGTTGTCCCCACTCGAAGTCCAAATATATCTAACACATTAGAAAAGAAAGGATTAGTGTAAAATAACAATAGTATATAGCATATATAGCTTTATATGTTTATTTTACATAAACTCAACCACTTTTAAGTGGATTCCAACTCCTCATTCAACCTAAGTAGTGTTACTTTATAGCGGCTTTCTTTTTCACCACCTACCATTGAAAAATAACCCACCGTTCCACATACACACATATTTCCATACATAATACATTGTAATATGATAAATGTCTTTTTATTTAAATAATGGAAAGATCCTTCAAAGGAGAAAACAAAAGAGACCTCACTTTCACAAGATTCCCCCGTATGCCTTTTAATTTATTTTAACATATATACACAATTGTTAAATTATATCTTACGACGTATTTGTAATAATAATCGAAACATCTTGCACGTAAAAAATTCATAGTTTTAGCACACCACTAATCTAACGGTGTCAATTTATCATTAAATATATAATGTAATTTGCTTCCTAGCTATCTTTATATTTGATGTTTGTTGATGCTATACTAATGCATGCCACATTAAAAAGCTGTCTTTTAAAAAATAAATAAATCGCATACCAATTAACAAAAAAGGATAAACCCTGAAGTATTGTCCAACATTTGTTTTTGGAAAAAAAGTAACTATTTCCCACTTGTTGAACTAAGGATTGATAGTGTATTTTTTTTTTTTTTTTGATAAACCGTATTTTCTTCATTATAGATGAATTGATATATTTATGATGAATTTAAATGCATAATTTTTTAAATAAACGAGTGTTGCTTAAAAGCTCGTGACTTTAGTTATCTCGACTATCTGGAGACGATTAGTTTATTACAAAAAGTTACGATTAAACAAAATTTATCTCAGTAATTAGCATGTTCTTGATCTGCATGCAACTTAATACTTTATATTTCATCTCCCTGCAGGTCGCCATAATAAATATTCGTTGTGTAAAGATAATATGTATTTAAGATTTTTTAGAACATTTTCAACCCATTCTATATTTCATTTTAAAATGAATTTTAGAATAATGAGTATTTTAATCCTATTTATTTTTCTACTTTGTATGGAGTAACTTTATCTTCTTCGTTATTTAATTTCACTATAAAATGAAGTATTAGGATTAACCTAATACCATAATAGAATTATTTTATTTTAGAAAAAAAAATTATATTAGAGATACTCCTATAACATTGTGAAGATCGTCCATTGCGATAGAACTCTATTGCAATACCCTTTGAAATTATTTGTTTGTTTGACTCACAGGGAGTTTTTTTGTTGTCAAAATTCAAACTAGTCTATTACATCTCCAATTGCTAATGTTACATCCTTATATTGTCTAATTAAAAGAGTTGTATTCAGCGAAAATTATTTATATTCTTAATCACCATGACACTGTTATCATATTTAAAACGACAGTATTACCAACAAGTTTATTAGTTTTGGCTTGTGATTCTTAATATGTTTATCGACAGAAATATTACTAAAAAATTATGTAAATATTTTTAGTTAATGAGTAAAGTGTTTATATGTGTAAAAGTATTTTTAGTAAATGATTTATTTAAATACTTTTAGTCGATAAATATATTGTCAGGCTCGTCCATGTGTGTAATCAAAGCAAGGATGAACCTTACAGTATATTTATTCATCTGTCAACATATATATCAGAAATTATACATTCTTATATATATATATTGATAGCGATGGTAGTGGAAAATGTACTCAGTTTATATAGATGTATATTTCGTATATATATGCACACACAGTGAGTAACGAAATTACGAAAAAAAATTGAAACGCCACCGACCCACACAAATGTAGATACAACAAAAGTCGTCCAAACTAGTATTCATTTTGTTGGGAAATGGTCGTTTTGTCAATTTCCCTTGTTGTCGTTCTCAGTTCTCACACCTCAGTCTCAAAAGTCCAAAATCCCTAACCAGTTAATGAGCTTACTATATTTATATACAGTTGTGAATTATAAATGGCGTTCTTTTATTCTTCAAAATATATAGGGAGTTAAACAATTTTTCTTTTATCAAACAGGGAGTTAAACAATATATCATTTCAAAAAATTCAAGTTGGTAACCCGACATATACAGTAAAATCTAACTAATATTTTGTATTTGGATTTGTTGGGTTTATGGTAGTGTGTTCCTTTTGACACCCAATACCATAGTATTATATTAATTTTACTTTTAAGTATTTTAATTTATAGACAAGATCGCTTTCCTTTCACTGCAAAACAGTACTTTCACTCGTATTTAATACTACTTTCATAAAGAGTGATTTAAACTTAATTGTAATGATTTTCTATCCTACTTATAATACTTAGTTATATGCATATGTATTTATGTGAGTTAGATGATGGGTGGATTCAAAGAAGAAAAAATACTTTTAAATAACACTAAATAGAGTTTTTGCTTAAAGTTAGCACATAAAGAATAGATAATCAAATAGCTTTGATAAAAAGGTTAAAAAATGAATTTAGATTTATTGATTAGAATTTAAGATTTATTATTTAGGAGATGAGGTTAGAATTATGGAGTATACTGATACCCATATCCATATTCAGTAATTAAATAGTAAAAACAAAGATGTTTGTCAAAAAGTAAGTAAAAATGCTGAATTAGTTATGCGTGAACTGGAAAATGAAAAGAAGAAAATAAATCAGTGGAAATTATATTAATTGTTTTTTCTTCATAAATTTACAATTTCTCGATCGATGTAGAAAAGTAAAGATGCTTCTGGCCAAGACAGCTCTCTAGTTAAAGTTCCAAAAACACCTCCAGGAATCTAGTACTAGTACTAGTTTTCTTAAAAGGTTGTCTATATATGCTGATTATTTTCTCCTCTAAATTTTGTAAAATATACTCAGGTGTTATTAATGTTGCATGTTTTCAAGCTTCCCCGACTGTCTTCCTCTTCCACTCTACTAAACGCTTCAGAAACTCATTAACCTGCAAAAAGGGTTCCCTTAATAAATTATTACCATTCATGACTATATTAATTTCAAATATTCATAATTATTAGTAATTTCAAATATTCCATCAAGGTAAAGACTTAATCTACCTGAGCAGGGTCTTGGAGAGAGTAGGAGGCATTGCTTTCTTTTGGAACTTTTGAGACAAGAATCCCAAAACCTTGTCCCCGTTCACGTAAAACCTATTGAATCACATGGTTAACCATTTAGCAAAATAAAATTATATGGATAATTTACTATCTCATTATCAGCCGAACTGTAGAATAAAAGTTGTTTTTTCAACCTAAAAATAATAGTAGTTGATGGTACGTAAACGTGTTAATAACTAAATGTTACCATACCTTAAACGCATCTTCGTCGGTACGGTCATCTCCAATATACACCGGAACAACATCTTCTGACTTTTCAAACCCTATTTTAATCAGACCAAAATATAAGAATACGCAGATCTAACATTTTCCCCCAATAATGAAATATCTATCAATGTGGGTTGTCTTCTCTCACCTAATGATTTTAGCAAAAAATTGAGAGCCTGGCCCTTGTCCCATTTGATTGTAGGGCGGATTTCAAGAACCTGATTTTACAAAGGAAAAAAATTAGTGATGGTTAATCTATAATTATTATTATTATTCAACATAAATATGGGTTTTAAAGCCTTCTACTGACTCGTAAAAAGAAGAAGAGGAAGATCAATTTTACCTTTCTTCCTTGGGTTAGTTTCAGCTGTGGATAGTCAATTAGAACTGACTTTACTTGTTCGGCTAATGCGGTCCATCTCTGTTCGAAACAAATAATGTATATATCAGTAATGCGGTGCCCTATATAATTATTAATATTTCTGGTGCTTGCTTTTAGTTTTTGTGTTTGTTTTTCTGCAAAGTGAAGTACATAATTCATCTCCAACATAGTTTTAATTTCAAGAAATAGGACTTTTATGTTTTTGATGTATTTTAGGTAAAAAATTTAACAATTAGCAATTTGGACCATTGTTCGAAGAAAATAAAAAAAAAGTCTTGTTGTTACCTTCTCATCAACACGTCGAAAATGTACGGACAGACAAAACTTGTTGTTCTCCACCATAGCCCCAGGGATCCCTTTTGTCTTTTCCTCTAAAATCTTAACCACCTGAAATTATATATATGTGAAAAGGTTAAATATATTAATGTATGTTTAACTTTTCACTCTCAGTAATTCAATCAGTTATCGAAATGCACCTTCTCAATCATCGGTACAAATTCACGAGCAGACTGAAACAGCACTCCTTGATTACTCTGTGACCATTTCATCCCAAAAGAAAATAAATAAATAAAAAAATAAAAAAATAAGAAACCAAATTACTATTTTTATTATGCATAGATATTTTTTCTGCATTAATATTTTCTCACCTCGCCGTATGTGTTTTCGTTGGTAGGACCTTCAATGTCCATGCCATGGCTTCCAGCGTAGTAAATCTCACTGAGTTTGACAAAACTACGAACCTAGAAATATTTATATATATCTCACATTTAGTATTAATACCTAGAGTTTGTCAGAAATATATTCTTATGTAGAGTACTATATGGGTTTTGAAAATACATAAAAAAGTAAGATTTAGTAAAAGTGAAATGTACCTTATCAATGGATCTTCCAGTAACTATAGCAGTTGGGAAGTTTAGAGCCACATTCTTTACAACCTCTCGCATCTGTATTAAACAATGTTAAAACCAAAATAATAATTATACAACAAAAAAAATAATTTAATCAGTCATGGAACAGAATAAAGACCTCATGTGTTATGTAAGCTTTGTCAGGATCTTCAACTATGGGAGAAAGCGTCCCATCGTAATCAAGAAACATAACAATTTGTTTCCCCTTTGCAGCATTCACAATCTCATCAAACAGATTTAAAGCCGATGGAAATCGAACCTAAACCAAGAAATACGAAACCATAATAAGATACCAAAATCTTGAAATGGGTAAATTTAGATTATATTCAAGGTGTAAAAAAATAGTTAACGTACGATCCAAGATGTTTTATGGTCGTTGTCTGAGACAGAGTCACGTGAAGAGGGTCTGAGACGTGTAGGAGAAGAATCACGCATGGAATCGACCCAGGATGCAATCTTACCAGCACCAAGATTGTTCTTGGTGATGTTGTTGCTGTTCTTGTCGGATGCTTCGAGAAGTTCCAAGAACTTTCGACGAGGAAAGGTAAAGTAAGTGGGAGTTGGAGAGAACAGGGGAGAGTTAGAGACAGTGATGGTTTTCGAGCTCAAGATGGGTTTTCTGTCGGTGACAATGACATTCTGGTTCATCATATTTCTAACAAGTGTTGAGAACGAGAGGCTAGAGAGGCTAATAGAGATGAAAAAGGGAACGAGAGAGTGTGAGGAGGTGGAGGAATGGGGAGGAGGAGAAGAGGAATTTATAAGGAGAAGTGTGAGAAGAAGAGAGTTAAGTAATGAGAGAAAAGAAATTGGCAAAAACTTCATCGATCATTGGTGGCTCCCTATGTACCTTTTTGGCCACATTATGCTCCTCTCTCTTTCTCTATTTTTCAGCCTTTTAATTCTTATTTAAACTCATTCTTATAAAAAAATTAATCGAGTTTTATTTTTATTTTCAGAAATCAGCTTTCTTGTTTTAATGCGAGCTATGTTATGACTTGGATATATGCTTGATTAATTGTTGTAGTTAGATTTACTCGAGTGTTGTTTTGGTTTAAAAATAGCTAGATAATATAGTATTGATTTAGTTTAACAGCAAGTAGCTAGTCAGGTAAAATTAAAAGTTTTTGTTGTAATACGCTGCAAAAACTGATTAGGGCGAGTTTACAGTTACATAGGTGGATAAAAGTTAGACACCAAAAATTAGGAAAGAAAAAAGATAAAGCTTAAAAATATTTTATTTTCAGCTAATATGTTTTTAAAAATATTTTATTTTCCAACTTTTGTGTTTTGAATATGAAGTCTTAGGGTGAAAATTCAATGAATGTAATGACTCTACAACTACTGAGAATGTTTTATCTTATGGAATCTATAACCTCGAGCATAATATTATACTAAATTCCTAGAATACACAACGTCTTACTAAATCCAAAATTTTGATCAAAAACTCTTTACATAATCTAGGCAAATCATATCTGATATCATATTCGTAAATTCAAGAATCAGGAAAAGGTTAAACTTCACCGAAAGATATATCAGCACATTCATGTTTACAAAAAAAAAAGATTTATCAGCACATTCTTTTTTTTTGTTTAACTATATATCAGCACATCCAAATACTTGTTTTAGCCATCACGACATCACGTTATAATAACCTGCAAAAACAATAGCACACAGATGCATTGGTCCACCAAACCAGAGGAAATGAAAATTCTTGTTTTGGGCACTTTAATAGGAAACTATAACCAGCTTTTAAAATGTACTTAATATTCGGAAAGCAAAAAGAAATAGAGCAATTAAAAAAAAAAAGACGAAATATATGTACTAAAATGGTGAACGCCCACAGGAACAAAACGATTGCACCCAAATCTATCTAATAATTTTGCGGTATTCAGCCAAAACTATTAGCTATTATAAACTCTCTACACTTTTGTCATGTAATAAAAACCATTTAACAAAATCTTACGTGCATAACTTTTCTCTTTCATTGGTTCTCATTGCAGATGCATGCTCATGTTCGCATTCTACGTACGGCTTCACTCATTATATAAAAGTAATACTATACGCGACGGTTTGTTGTACTGCTTTTTCAATCTTGTAATTAAATTACGTCTAATTGATGTTTGAATATAGTTTCATAGACGACAACACGGGTCAACATTCTGGACTTTTGTTACTTGAGAATATACAAAGGGCACGAAACTAGAAACCCTTTAGATTTCATGTTCCGACGGGGACAGTAACCTAAATGTTTTTTATATCTATTTTTGAATTTTAATTAATAAGTCAAGGTCATTCTATTTTAGTTAATTTGTACACATATAAACACAGTCACGAACACATGGACTGGAAGTTTCCTATCATTTTCGTGCTGTTAATTAAGACGTTGTGCGCTGTGGTTTGATTTATTTTACTTTATATATGCGGCGGTTAGAGAAAAGCTAATATCGGCATGCTTGGGTTCATGAACTAATATTAGCTTGGGAGAGAAGTAAAAGGGGTTTTGCTGGTTTTTGTAGCTTTTCAAATGTTTTTTTTTGCTCTCTTTATTCAGAAACATTTTGTAAAGGTCTTTTTTTTAGTTATAAATTTTAATTTTGTTGCAAAAAAAAGAAAAGTTCATTGTAAATATAGATCTATTTATGGATTTACCAAATTATATTTCTGACACGATATATTTGTCGATTATGTGTGTCACCTTTCAGATAGACCATTAATTTCTATGTATATATAGTATAGCTCCATGTCGGTATAAGAAAAAAATATGTTATCAAAACCAATATTGTACGCTGAACTAATACTAATAACCATAAGTGTATGTATAACTTGAACCATGATTTTTTTTTGTGCTAAATGTTAATACCATGATTATTTTGTGAAAACGAGAATATTTGTGTTAATATTGTTAATGGTAAACATCCAAAATGAACTGATGAACTTACAATGTGGATTCTCATAAACATGAAAATTATTAATTAATTATTTTAGCCATTGTTAACTGGATTCTAATATATACGTATAAATAAGTACTAGAAGTTAACAACCATTTTACTCCAAGAAAAAACATTACAAACATTAAATGAAAAGTAGGTAAACACGAAAAAATAAAACTCACAAGTTCTTTTAAAATGAGTGAAAAACAGAAGAAGCGCGCTGGGATTATGAGCAGGGTTGATTGTTAACTAGTTGCATTTGGAATGGTACGTTATGAACACAGAACACTAACAAGGACTACGTGTATATGGTTTGCCAATAAATAGAGATTACAACATACAAGCGTTTGAGTTTATCATATGTTTAAACTGTTTCAAACTTTAAGGGTTCCATTAGAAATATGAATAGAAGAAAAATGAATGGAATAGTATGGAAGAAAAAGATTCAAATGGAAAAAAACTTAGGCTGCTGAACCATTTGTGAAGAATTATAATTCATTTAAGGTGTAAGTTGATTAATTAATTTTTATTTATTTAAATTTAGTCGGGGTCCCCATTCCACAACGAGGACTTGAAAGTTGAAATGACTTTCCCATTAAGGAAGACTTATGTTTTTCCAAAAAGGATTGCTCGCATGGTCCATCCAGGGTGGGTGGGCATTTCTCTTCTATAACTCATTCTGTTTTTCTTTTATTTTTTCTTACTCTTATACATAAGTGATATTTCCTAGTTTACTTTTTTTTTTAACTTTTATTTCCTAGTTTACTTTATGGGTTCTTACTCTATGTTTTCGGTTTTTACTACTTAATATAACTATGTTTCCAAAAGAAAAATTCCATAAAAATGGATAATACATTTGAATAATAGTAGCCTATGGAGCAAACAAAAGATTTGTTTAAACATTTTATTGGTTCTCAGACTTCCCACAGAGTCACAAGAGTGAAAACACTGTTTTGATTATACCTCACTGCCTATTTTTCTTAATTTATGATTTCAGTATTCTCTTCCAAGCTTTGTAGCAGTTCCAAGCAGGTTCGGTTCTTTACATGATTAAAAGGGAATTATATTTATAAACTATCATGCATAATAAAATTGGTAAATTGCCTAAACTTTCTAGACTTGGGAGAGATCTATAGATTGAGCAATGCCTTTAATTTTAGACTTTTCACTGATAAATCTCAACTCAAGTTATTCGTATCAGAAAATTGGATCGAGAGAGTGACTTGTTTAATATTTTAATTGATGATAGAATCAAAATCTCTATTTTTATCGGTAACATTAATTCATTATCTAGAAAAGTATATGAATATTGTCGAAAATTCTACTTATATAATCAAATCAAATACTTAATGTGGTTCAAATTCAACGGTAAGATATTTTACGGTTATAACCAAACATTAATAACATGCAATTAGGGCTGGGCATTTTATCCGTTATATTTGATTCGATCCGTTATTCGTTTCGATTCGATCCGAAAATTCCGGATATCCGTAAACTTTCGAATCAAAGCAAATACTAAAATTCAATATCCGTTAAAATCGAAGCAAATCACAAATATTAAAATTTTGAAAAGCGGATATCCGATCCGATCCGTAAATATATAAATATATGTATATTTTGATTATATTTAAAATTTTAATTGTATAAAATTATAAAATTATTAATTTAGCACATGATTTTGAACAATTCTATTCAAATTATTACTTATATAAAAA